GCATATAAATGCGAGGGAGAAAAACGATTGGAAGGGTTGTTTGAAAAGTTGAAGGTATTTTAGCTACTTTCCAAGTGCGATAATGTGTGTAAAAGTGTACTGTATTACAGTATTTATTTATTTATATTTTTTGATTGAAATTTGCGTGCGAGGTGAGTCTTCCATGTGAGATGCAGTACAGTGAGATCCCAAGATGCAGACATGATTAGTGCATCAATAAGAGTGTCCCTAAGTTGAAATGTCCCCAAGTCAATAAGTCTCATTTCCACTTAGACTTGCAGTATATAATTTTTAATTGTTTTATGGACAAAATACTTGCCATAATTCCATGAAAATAAAAATTGTCTCCCAATTGAAACTGAACCAATCAATATAATGTATTTCAACACCATACAGACATTTGGGAAATTGAATACTGATACCTATCTGTACAGTACTGTACATAGAAATGTTGGCATGCTCTGTAAAGATGACATTCAAGTGAAAAAGAGAGAAATGAATTCCTCTATGCTGGAGGTTATTAATTAAATAAACTAAATGGATGGTAAATTGGTGAGAGAAATGCCCAAGAACTTTTCTTACATGAATTTTAGGGTTTGAAATATCTGTTTTTTGTAATATGGCCAGGAACTTATTTGCAATTTTATCACAAAATGTATTTCAGTTGGGTGTGGAGGGGGTTTGGATGCGGGAGTCTTGGTTGTGCCTTTTGTGGATGCTGAAAAGTGGCAAATAAAGTGTTCTGTTCATTCATTCACAAAATGTCCCCATGTCAAGTCAGTGTCCTCATGTCAGGCCTTTTTAATTTTTTTTTTGGGAAAATAAGTGTCCATATGTTGAATTGTCCTCATGTCAAAGTGTCTGCATGTGGGGGTCTCCCTGTACTTATTCTGGAATAAAGGCGGATTAGGATTGACCTCTTTTTCCCTATTCTACATATGCAGTACTAGAAGCTGACAACTTGTGAAACCATTTGCTATAATACAGTACCATATAGTTTGAATTCAAATTGCAGTTATTAAATACATTCAAATTACGTGAATTACTTTAAATTACAGCAGCGAAGTGGTTATAGTGTCAGGAACAACACAAGCTGATAATACAGTACATAGCATGATATATACACGTGCAAAATGGACTTTTTGAGTCCCATTTTGCAGTAAAGTATATGTGTATTAATTATATGTAATAATTTGTTGCATCAAATATGAGGAAACAAATGCACCATATTTGTATGATGGTCTGCCATGAAATTAAATGTACTGTATATGAATCTGGGGTTTAAAAAAATACTGTTAAAGGTTGTATACAGAACTGCTGCTGATACAAACGTTTTTTAAACCCAAAATTCAACATCAGCATGCTCATGAAAATTTTTGGCTCATTTTTAAAGATTGTATTTTGGTCTTCAAAACGTTAGGCCATATCATGTATTATGTATGTTTTCTCAAACCTTTCTTCACAAAATTTGAAGAGCTTATCTTGAACGGGGGCCCACTTAGGATGAGGAAACAAGTAAAATCTTGCAAGAGATTGCTGAAATAGATGTTTGCTAAGAAGTATCCCATTCTTCAAAACCAAATTTTTTCCATCACCAATCATTCATGACATTGGATTATATCTGATCAATGGCAGCACGCAGTCATTAGCCAAAAGATAATTGTAAGTGCTTCCCTCCGGGTTCCACCTCAACAACTTTGTGATTAATTTTCTCCAGATTTCACAGGAACCCCCGAAAAAAGTCATCAACTCAAGATTTGCTAATTTGCAGAAGAAAAACTGCATTTCGTCTCTCAGTAAAATATACAACACGTGGGTAAAGGTACTCATCCTAACATCACTCATGCTATATTAACTAACAAAGCTTTTCAGGTTAAAACCAGAGGTCTCTCGTGTTCCACCAAAATAAAAAGAACTCAAAACCCATCCACCGTTTTTTTCAACAAAAAATTGACAACACATAAAAAAAACAATCCTGAGGTGTTACGAACTGGCAACATCGTTAGAACCTGGTATAAAGCCCCCGACTACACCATTTTGGCAATCTTTTGCTGAACCAACGAAAAAATGAAAGCTCTATAGTTCTATAATAATATTCAAGTCACAAATAAGAATCCCCATCTAAAACCGATCAACGAAAGCCCGGTGTCAAATGAGCGACAAACGAACATTCCAAGCAATCGAATCATCTCTCATCGATCAATCAATCAATCGTGAAAATTATATGCGTCGTTTCGAGCGTCGGGATTCTCTCCTTCTTTTCAAATGTAAAATGATAATGTTGAGATGGAACGAAATTCTCTCTACAAGGAATTTTTTCTGGTCCGTTGAATTTCGTTGTAGACTAGAGTCCACCTGCATTATTCAAAAAGATTCTCAATTCTAGGCATTTCATCTTTCCCAAACAATGCCAGACTTTTATCTGCGATTATAAACTTCTAGATTTGCAAGAATGTTCGTATAACGTATCACGTCATTGTTGAAAAGAAAACTTTTCCTTATGCGCTCAGTAAAATATTTTACACAGCATGTAATGATCCCAAAAAAGATATTTGATCATTCCAGGATCATCTGACAACTTGAGAATTTTGCGCATTTTTCTGAACTGAACACAATATAAATTTCAACAATGATCACAGACAAAACTGTTACTTGAAGTTGTCCGCAAAAAACTGCATTCACCATGTTTTCAAAAATTTCACTGCATCAACAGAAATCAGATAATCAGCAGAAAACTTCCCAGTACAGTACAAAAAAAAAAAGACAGTGTTATTGAACTTACTAAATTAACGCAGATTTCGAATCATTCTTTTTAACGATGGAAAACAGCAGAGTCAATAAATATCATGCAACAACGAAGCGAGATCCAAAATGTAAGTTCACCCGAAAACAACTGAAATCTCCATGCTTAAATTTCAATAATTTTTCCATTCAAAGCTAAATTCCCAGCAATGTTGAAACGACATTTTAAATACAGCAATCAAATCTCATTACGAAAAAGCTGCCATAATTATACAAGGAAAAACCTTCATCATAATCTAAAACCTGTAAAATCTTTATAGTGAATGCATATACTGTACAGTATTTAACTGGCACACTGGTTATTGTGCAGGGACTCGAAAAAACAATTCGTAGCAAGCAATAATTCGTTATAGCGAGATACCAGAAACGAGAATCTCAAAGTGTGCAGAAATTTCAAAATTTCAATTACATGTTTTAAACATTGAAACTTTCTACTGTTGCATATTTCCAAGAGGACATTTGTTTTAATAACTACTGTGAGTAATTAAAAAAATGCACAAAAAATTAAAGTATTTCCAAATCCCAGAATCAGAAAAATACCGTAAAATATGTGCGCAACGAATCCAGTGGGACGGGAAAAAAAATGCTTCATCATGAAAAACTTCGTTTCATAAAAATTCAAATAAAGTTGTGTAAATTTTGGACACTGACCTAAAATAAAAATTAATTGTACCAAACAAGAAAACATTATACTGACAAAAGTTGTGGGGCTTTTTAGAAGCTGAGGTAAATAATAGCTGCGTCGTCGTCAAAATGTTTTAAGAAAGTGAAAACCTAGAGCGAAAGTTGATTTTCGTGTGGTGTGTCAAAACAAATAATGGTTCAAGAAAAAAATAAATCATATTTACTTATCGAACTCTCCTTCAGATGCTGTGGCAGTCCTGGACAAATACTGTGAAAATAAGAAACAAAGAAAGAATTTTCCTCGTCAAACAACCACAAAAAGAAACCAAGTCTAAAATAAATTGTGCACGTGTGTGTTTTAAAAGGTAAACAACTCATGCAAAATTTTAAACTGTACTTGAAAAATGGGACTTTCGGAAATCACCATGAAATTTGGGTAAATATCGTCACCATCCAAAATAATAAATGCGGAAAATAAAAGAGATCATTTGAATAGTGCTCGCACAGAACTTGTCAAGAAAAGCTGACAAACCTTACTTTGAACATACATAAAATGTGAAGAAGAAAAAAATTTTCACCATCCAAAATAATAAATGCGGAAAATAAAAGAGATCATTTGAATAGTGCTCGCACAGAACTTGTCAAGAAAAGCTGACAAACCTTACTTTGAACATACATAAAATGTGAAGAAGAAAAAAATTTTGTGCCGGCATTCTTGAAAGAAAGAAAAAAAAAATTAAATTCGGAATACCTCATCCGAAAGTTGCAAATGCTGCCTTTCGATGAATTTGTGCAATTTTTCTACGTCAACCCCAGTGGCTCCCTCAACATCAGCATCATCATCAGCTTCCTCTTCCAAGTCTGCCTTATTAATGTCGTGAACAGCAGACCCTTTTCTCGTTTTTTCTTTCTCTGCTGATCTTTTGCTGTTTCTATCAGAAGGGGAAAATTCACCAGCTCCTTCTCTACGCAAACCAGGTTCTTGCTGAATTTTTTCCTTCAACCGCTTCAACGGTGAGAGCCGTCTTTTGGGTGATGCGCTTTTTCTTTTGGCTTGAGCTGATTCTTGTTTCAACCCCGAGACACTAAAAAAAAAAAAAAAAATCATTGGAAATGCGGTAGAATTCTCTTAATTGGACTCCATGGGACCATCAGAAGCGTTTTGGTCCCTTTATAATAGATTTCCTTTTCAAATTAAATTCATATTCATTAACAGATCACCAGAATTATAAGTAAATTATGCAAAAAACAAACAAAACCTTAAGTACAAATTAATTTGAGCGCAGATCTATTCCAATATTGAATAGAAATACTGTAAGAATGAATGAATGAATGAACAGACACTTTATTTGCCGCTTTTCAGCGTTCACAAGGTTCAATCAAGATTTCCTAGAATGAATGAATGAATGAACAGACACTTTATTTGCCGCTTTTCGGCGTTCACAAGGTTCAATCAAGATTTCCACAACCACACCCCCTTCCCACCCGACCCAAATCCACTCAATGACATTTAATCACTTTGGAGCAGGAAACAGAGCACAAATTGATAACACAGAAAATACAATCCATGAAATACAACTGGACATCTGACATGTATGCGTATACACCCATTCATTCCCTGACATTGGAAACAAAATATATGTAAAAATTAATTCAAAGCACAATGTCTTCAGCTTGTTTCTGTATGAGGTTTAGTTGAATGAACAAATTAAAAGAGAATCTTTGATGATAAATCATATAAGGCCAACAGTTTATCTTGATCCTTTATGATTTCAGAAAGGGTCTCTTCATTGATTTCCAATACTGTACTTGTAAGTCTTTCTTAAGCTACTGTAAGATACAGTGAATGAATCAAAGATCAGAATAGAGAACATCCATGGATCATAGGTAGTGCAACTTGATTTAAAGCAATGGGATGCAGTAAAATCTGGAAAGAACAATGAAAAAGCTTTTCTTAAACAAAATGTTCCTAAAAAGTAAAGCAAAATGAAATACTGTAGTAATCATTGTGAAGAAATTTAGAATATAAATTTGATGACATTTTTTAAAGACTCATAGCAAAAAGATTTTTCTCTGTTTGAAAAAAAAATTTTCATGAACTAATAGCGGACTGCTCAGATATCTTTGCAAAATGTTCTCCTCTGTGGAAAAAATCCAAATGACCATTTAAGAATATCGCAATAATCCAGAAATCCTACTTCAGAGAAGATACAGTACAATTGTCTCACAAAATGTTATCTATCATTATGGGAGGATTACAAGCAATAAATTTGGAGTAATAACAATATTCATCCTCATTACTTTCATACAAATACTTCAGGACTCAATTCAGGCTGGAGTTGGGGTTGACTGTGGGTCAAAGAAGCATCAAAACACACAACAACTGGGACATTACTATGAGTTAAGATGGGAATCAAGTCTTTGCTTAAAATAACACAACAAATACAAACCTCATGGGTATTTTAGACGAGTCACCCTCTCCAGCAGCAGCAGCAGCTCTCAAAAGAATGATGTCATTCAGAGAAGACACATAGGCATCACTCAGCTTGGCAATGGCACCAAGTCTTTCATCAAGGTCATGTAGTTTCTTTTGTGCTTTCAAGCATTGCTTGATGTCCAAGTCCTTGTGTCTTGCTGAGGATCTTTGTCTGCAAACAAAGAAAACCAGTTTTTTTTAAAATTATGATCCCAAGGGCTCATTAAAAGTAATCTATGTCACATCAAACAAAGGCAAAACAGATCCAAATAGGGACTATTCATTTAACTTCCTTAGTGACACCATCCATATGTTCAGTTTTGAAATACAGTGGATACCTGGATAACAAAACTAATACATTCTAAGATGACCTTTGATGCACAGAACATTGATATTCCGATATCAAAATATATCTGAATATTTCCAGACACTTGGCTTCTTCTAGACAAGGAGTAGATTCATTTGCATCACCCTGGCCATAAGCTCAATACTTCTGGACTTCAAGTTATCTCAACAAGTAAACACCATAATGAAGAAAAGTTTAAATGCAAAGAAGACATTCAACGCATTACTCATTTATTTCAATCCTTCTTTGGCAGTTTCAGGATAAAAATGTATTCTGTATAGTGAGCAAAAAAAATGTCAACATGGAATTGCAAACTTGTTCATACTTCAAAGTGCAGTATTTGAAAATTCTCACCTGTGATCTTGCTGTTGCTGCAGCGCCTGGAGCTGGTGATATTTGCCAAGAACTTGATCAACATTTCTGCGCAACGGCACGATGCGGACCAAGACTGAGCCAGCTTCCAGCTGCATTTCTTGGAACCTGGTTTTCAGATTAGCCAAGGATTCAGGACTCGCTTTGGGGTCTATGGGTTCGTTGTTACGGATCTCCATTTCCGCCGACTGAACCCATTCCATGAGCTGGTCGAGGTTCCGGTGCAGGTCTCTGTGCTGTAATGCAGGAAAAACAAATGAAAAAAATGGGTGAGAAACCTCTTAGTTTCTCGCGTAAAAAAAAAAGATTTTACGTTACTTTACGAGGGTTGTCCCAGTTAAAGGCGACTTCGGATTCTTTTTTTTTTCAAGTGGGTGTGGCTGTAAAAATGAATCATATAGCTCATGATGTTTCAATAGAGGCTCTGGGATTTTTTTCCGAATTTCAGAATAATTTTTCAATTCAATGCATCATGATAAGTGAAAACTTTCCAGTTACAGCCAGAGTTCTCCGCCCATGTCACTGCTGGAGGTGCTGAAAATTTATCAGGCGACTCAAACTATTCAAATCTTTTGCTGTTTTACCCATTATCTTTCCTACAACTTGGATAACGGTGAAAATTTAAAAAATAGAAATTTTGAGCTAGCCTGACAAATTTTTAGCAGGGCGGAGAACTCTGGTTGCAACTGGAAAGTTTTCACTTGACATCAAGTAATAGATTGAAAACTTTCTTTTTATAAATCAGAAATAAATTCCATGAGATCAGAACAACATGATGGGGTATGTACTGTAATGATTTTCTTTTACGATCACAACTACTTAAAAAAATGTATATATATATATATATATCCGAGGTCACGTCCAATTGGGACAACCCTCGTGTTTCCTGATTTCACTTTGGCCATTCCTGTATATGCACAAACCTCGTATAGAGCAAGTCCCAGATCCCTCAAGCATTCAGCAGTGTCAGCTTCCAATCTACTCCATCTCGACCTGATCTTCGCCAATTTCCCTTTCAGTTCTTCCACTTTGTTCACGTCTCCGCTTTTGGCAATCAAGTGTCCGGCCAGCGACTCCACACTTGCCTTCAGGGGCTCATGTGACTTCAAGTCCAGGGTCAGCTCGTGCACTTCTTGGAAAGCTTCTTCTAGTGGAGCCAAATCACCACCTGGAGGAAGGAAAAAATAAAACCGATACGGAAGAGGTTGAGGCAGGGACGCGAGAAAATGGCTACACCAGGGTTGTCCCAATGCCACACGTCCTTTGAATTTATGACGTACTAGAATCTTTGTTTAAAATTAATTTTTGAAGTTTACACCTAGATATTTTCAAAAACCGCTGTACTATATTCTTCAGATTTTCAAAACACTGCATATCAAAAGCGAAAATGTCCCAGGTACAAGTACTGTACTTGCATTAAGGCCAAAATTTCCCACTATATATTCTTTAAAGTTGCTGATATTTCTGATGCTTCTAGTTTGCAAATGAACTGTACAAATTCCTTCTGCTCCTGCTGTTGCTCCTAAATTCGAGTTTCATTTCAGGGTTTTTAAATACATTTTCATAATACAATTGTTACAGATGATCCAGAGTACAAAAATTGAAATTTTTTGCAGTGCAGAACATGGGTGGAATCTATCTCAAAAAAAAAAAAATCTCCAAAACAAATTTCTTTCGGCTCTTTGAATTGGTATGAAGTATTTTAAAGGTGTCCTCATAGGATTCTCTCCCCACTGGGTATATAATCAAAAATGGTATAATTTTCTCCAGATATGAAATTCCCTATACAGGTAATATATAAGGTTCTCGAGAGAACAATATTCTCTATATAATGCATTTCTAAGATCTCTTGCGTTCTTTCCACATGATATAGAGGTTATCTATAACGAAATTCCCTTTACAATAATTTTTTTCTGATCCCGTGAATTTCGTTATATAAACTACAGTAATTATTTTCTTTTATTCTCTCTTCGATTTTTCTGGTCTGCTGAATTTCGTTACAGAAACTACGAAATTTTGCGTTTTCTTTACAACGGATTTTTTCTGGTCCCTTGAGCTTCATTGTAAAAGCCTCAGTATATGGGGGAAGAAATCTATGGGACTGATAATATCTTAATACAGAGAATACCGTTGAAGGCAATAGAGATAGCCCACCTGCAATGTGTTCCTGATATCTGGAGAAAAATGTTCAAGAATTTTTGAATCCGTGTTTTCTTAAAAAAAAAAATTTAAATGCAAAATTTATCGGGGCGGAACTGACAAGATGACAATAATTTACGAGTTTTCTGATTTTCTCTCAATCTTTTGCAAGAGATAATTTTTAGGTATTAAAATTCCTTTTTTCTGAGGCTTACATGCAGTTAAATTTTCATTTGGCAATTTCATTTCAATCGGTTAAACTGGAATCTTACCCAAACACAAGCGCTGCCTTTGAGAGCTGCGACCACCAAACGCTTGATCTGCTTCGTCATCCTCCTTCCCTACAAACGACGGTGCCGCCCTCTGCCGGAAAACCTCCGCTATGCGCCTCTCGGCATTATCCATCCAAATTTCCAACCGCCAGAGGTCGTTGTCCAGTTGTCTCAATTCGCGCCTGGAACACAAAGGACACTTGCTACTGCTGGAAGACACGTTCTCTCCATCCTCTGCCAGCAGCTGCTGTTGGAGTTGGGCATTCGAGCGAGCCAGGATGCGATTCACGACATCTACGTCTGATTCGGGATGAACGCAGCCCGAGAGTTGTCCGAGACTCTGGGTAGATGCCGCTCCGGGCGACATGATTCCCCGCTCATGCAAACACGTGTCACAAGACGCGCCCAAACGCCGACAATGGAGCCAAGAATGTCGCGGGGTGCTCGCAACTGACTCCAGTGAGGTTGAGGCCACCGTGAACTTCTCTTTTTCAAAACTACCCCATGAAAAAAAAAGTCGCGAAACACAGCACAAAAGAAGAGCAAGACCCAAAACGCAAAAAAAAACAAGACAGAAATTCGAAAGAAGGAGAAATAAGAGGGCGAAAAAGATAAAGAGAAGAAAAAATACATTCCATGAAGCAAGCAGCAGATTGAAAAAGGGAAAAAGTTCAAAAATCCTCAGGCAACAGCAAGGAATAAGTACAGTACACCATCGAAAAGCATGGCTTTCATATACTGTATTTAGACGTTCAGTACAGTACTATAAACAAGGGTTGCTTCATAAGTTGTGTCATGCTTGTATATTTCCTTTGTAGGGAGTCTCACATGAATGAATGAAGATGGATTCAGAAGATTGGTTCAATTAATGATTTCCTGACCACTGATACATTTTTGCTCAACCCTCAATTTCCAATTCATCAAAATACAAATGCAAACTGAAGAATTATATCAGTACATAAGGAAATAAGGTGAAATTTTGTTCCACTCTCATACACTGTAAATTTTCAAGAGATTACAAAGGCTATCAAGCATTTACTCAACATCACATGATCAGTTGTAACTGAATAATTTGTTTCATTGAAGAATAAAGTGCTCATATCTCAGCTATTTTTCCAATCAGTGATCCTCCTGAAAATGAAGGTTACCCCTTTTACGTCAATTGGTGAGTAAAAAGTTGCCAAAGCCCAGACTGTAATTAGAAAAAGCCTTAAATATGCTTGCTAATACATTGTACTGTACCAGAATCACAATTTATCCAACAGTTTTAGGGGACTCTGAATCAGTTACTTGTGCACATGGCTTATTTCATAGAGGCAATAATCTCCCAAAAAAGGACACAACTTTCGAACCAACCCTTTTTTTCAAGGACCATAACACTAAGATAGAGTTTCTAATTCTATAATTTAATGTACACTAAATGAAATTTGCAGAAAAAGTACCTAAAACAATAAGTTTGAAGCACTATAAAACAGGATGCATCCCAAAAAAAAAGAGAAGCCCTTTTCAGCCATCAGACAGATGAAACAAAAGGCAAAAGAAAGGAAACTATTCTGGAACCTCAATGAAGGTCCAAAACAAAAACACTTGCAAATGACAAATAACAAACAACTCATCAGGGATTGAACAAGTGACACATGAATAAAGACACATCCATCGCAACAACAAACCTGCTGTCTTCTGTTTGTCGCTGGATCTTTTCTCTCTTTTGTCTAGCCCGTTGGAATCTATTCAGCAATTGATCCGCCTCAACGAGTCGCTTCTCGGTGGCATTCACGCCGTGTTTCTTCATGAAGACATCTTCTTTGAGATAACCCACCACGTCCATGATGGAGTGACAGCTCGCCATCAGCTTTGACTGCGATTTTAAAATTGAAAATACAGTATATTGAAATGGAATCAATTTCAGTTTCAATCCATCACAGGAAAAAGCACATTCTTTCAAATGACAGTCAAACAAAAAACTGCATAAAAATGCAGACTAAGTAAACACAGTACTGTACAATATTTTTTAGTAATAAAAGTGTTGTATACTAGCTAAGATACCCATCAAGATAAGGCAATGAACCCTAATTCATGAACACCATCAAATCAAACTAAATATCATCCATTTACAGAATCAATATACGGTAAAATATTAAGGTTTTTAAATATAAATTACTGTATCATCAAACGCCACACAAAGGCTGACTAAACTGGTTCATAGTTTTGAATAATTGAGCAGGTGCACACAAATAAATACTATTCTCTTTTTTATGCATCCTCTTCTTATAAGGCAACATATATGTAAGATAGTTTTATACTTGGACATTCAAACATGTTCCACTAGATGTCACTCGTATTCAACGAGATGGAATTTTCGACGTTTGCCTCTAAAACGGACGAAATCAAGACTTCTTGGCATTCCATGTCCTCAATACTGTACCGTAATGTGCAGCATTTCAAAAACTTGACAATACCTGATGATACGACTACCGTAATACGAAAATATTCAGGATTCATTTGTTGTTTCTTGAAAGAAAAATATTGGTCCTCCGAAGAGAAGTAAGGGCCCATATAGTTTAACGCTTGAATAAGTTCATGAAAAGTTCCATCTGCTTCCACAATAAATACATCTGTTTAAAAATAATGTCATCACAACGAATCATATTGGCTACAGCGAATTTATTTTTCAGGTAATTCACCAATAATAGCAACAATGTTATTCAAATTGTTTAACAATACAACAAATTTATCAATATAACAAAGCTTATTTTTTAATTTCCGGTCCCAACAGCTTTGTTGAAAGGAGATTTTATTGCATTATTTATGGTTGTCATTTTTAATTGATAATCAACTATGAAACTTATCATATGGGTGAAAGTACTGTACATTCCAAATCAAAATAAATTTGGATACTCTAGCTCACTGTTCACCAACATTTTTGGGCCAGCTGACTGACGAAGTTTGATAAATTGTTGGCAGACTCAAAAAGTTTGTTTGAAAGACTTCTTGGCAGGTATTCAAAATTTTACAGTTTTTTTTCGAAAAAATTAAGGTAAAAAACAATCAAGTAGCTACAGTGGAATGTCTTCAAAAAATTAGACAGTTGGACTTCTAGAAAGGTTTCTCCAAATGAAAAATTAAAATAATTTATTCCAGAGGGTAAGTGTATTTTCCTGGGAGAAAAGGCAACCTCCATTTTTAATGAGATAATTTCAACTGCCATTGTCTTTCCAAAATTTCAGATCAAGATAATGGACTTGATTGCTGCTTTTGATGAATTTATAATTGCTGAAAAAAATATCTGCAGACAGGCAAAAAAAAATTCCCCATATATATGTAGCTGATATATACTCACATGAAGCTCGTCTTTGGCTGAATCGCCAGCATTCGGAGTCTTCTGGAAAGACTCCAGCTTCTTCAGCTTATCCCTGGCTTCCTCCAGGGCACTTTCCATCTGGTAACACGCACTCTGGAAAGAATCTTTCCTCGAAGCCGCAGGAACTTCCGCAGCTCCAATAATGTCATCATCGAAAGAAGTCGAAACGGTCATCGGCGTCCCAGGGGGCCGCAGAATGGCCTTCACGTCCTGACTCGAGTCTCGTCCGAAATCGAAAGAAGACAACGACGCGGCATCCAAAATTTGCGTCTTATTGGTTTTCGAAAGATCCGTCATTTGTTTTGCCTTCTTTTCTTGCTTGGATTCCATTATCCTGCTGCTGCCGGGTGAATCACAGGATGATGAAACAGAAACGTCGTCTTTCCTGCTGCTGATGGGAGAAGTTGTTGTTGAAGCTTTTGTTTGAGTCTTGCCCTTTTTGCCAATGCCGAGTTTTTCCAGGATGGAGAAGGAAGTTTTCGACCTATTGATGGTATCGGGTTCGGGGATAGTTTCTTCTTCTAATGGTGATGGTGGTGATGATGACACACGTTTGTCACTTATTCTGGCTTCGAGAATGCCAACAGCAGCAATGCGACGTTCCTCGGGTTTTTCCTCGAGTTCAGGAATGATGTTGAAAACTTGAACGTCGTTTTCACTCGCTGATCCGTCCAGTGTTGACGTGTTGTCGTCCGATTCCACGTTGTTGTCGCTCAGAGTATCTTGTGACACTGAAAAAAAAATCGTCGAGAATCATCGTATCATTTATTGAAAAACGATTGACAATCATCATGAATGATTGAGGATTATCGTCTCCTCTGAGTGATGAAATATAAAGCCGAAATAAATTTCCTTCGATTATATAGTCTGAAGTCGATTCAAGATGTACAGTGAGACCCACACATGTGGACACCTCGACCTGCGGACAATTCGGCATAGGGACACTTATTTCATCATTAAAAATTAATTAATAATGCCCAAAATGAGGACACTGACTCGACATAGGGACATTTTGTTATAAAATTGCAAATACATTTCAGACCAAATTACAAGAAACAGATATTTCCAACCCTAAAATTGATGAAAGAAAAGTTCTTGGGCATTTCTCTCAACAATTTACCATCCTTTTAGCTAATTAAAAAAAATTAACTCCAGCAGAGAGGGACTTCCTTCTCTCTTTTTCACTTGCATATTATTTTTACAGAGAATGCCAACATTTCTGTGTACTCTACAGAGGTATCAGTATTCAATTCCCTAAATACCCATATTGTGTTGAAATAATATTGATTGGAATCAGTTTCAATTGGGAGACAATTTTCTTGGAATTATGGTGAGTATTTTGTCCATGAAACACCAATTAAAAATTAAATAGTGTAAGTCTGAGGGAAAATGAGACTCGACTTAGGGACACTCTTGATACACCAATTACGTCCGCATCTTGGGGTCTCACTGTCGGAAGGAACGTAAGCTGTGTAAAATATGAATGGTATTCACAAAGATGTCTTCAAACACAGCGTTCTTCTGACAACTTTAAAAAGAAATCGCATGACAACACAATTTTTCAAACACTGGGTTCCTCCACAAATTTGAAAACAAAAATAAAAATCATAAACACAACAAACTTCTTTTAGACTCTGGATTTTTCTATACGAACTTGCAAAACAAAAAAAAGAAGATAGAAACAAAATAAATCAAAGCACCTTCAGCAGAGGCAACGAGAACAACGTCGTCTCGTCGTCGTCGTCCCCGCTCGACACTTTCTAGACTGGATCCAGACACATTGTCCTTCACAGCAGCCACTGCTGCTCCTGCTGCTGGTCCGAGGGTGACAGTCAAATCCCGACGACGGCGAACCCCGACTTGACTGGACTCACTCGTCGTTGACGTCATCGTCGACGCAGACGAAGGAAGGAACAATTCCTCCAGCGAATCCAAGGCTTTCCTCGCGGTTCTCGGCTCTTTGATCTCTCGACTCTCCGACTCTGCGACGGTTCCCGACAACCTGATGCGAAGCGAGACAAAATACACATGCGGTATGCATCTTTTTTTTCTCGAACTAGTTCCACGCAAAGAAGAAAAGAAACTCAAGAAAATATATAAGACACAAGCACTATCTTGGCACATGGATAAGTGCTCGAGTCGAAAGAGCCGCAGCGAAGATTAGAAAACTGTTTCCGCGTGTTGTAAAGTAAATGAGGTGTGTCTAACTTCAACCAGCAGTATTTCCTCCTCGGTCAGGAATCAAGTACCCAGCAAAAAATTTGAGCATTCATGAACCCATTAGAAACCCATTCAAAAAAAGTGTATCCTGCCCATTCAGAAAACGGTCTTACAAGAATCTCTGAACTAGTTAGCTGGGCATTCAACTAATGCCCGAATGAACGCCCCTAATAACCATTCAACAAATGCCCAAATGAATGCACCCATATAATTTTAGTGCTGGCATTGGAGTGGACCATTCATGAACCCAGTAAACAAATGGGTCTTCAAATGGGCTCAAAAATCTGCCTAAAATTAAAATATTCATTTCTATAGCTGTCATATGTCAATTTTCCACCTTCAGTCACCCACACTAACCATCTATCCTGAACAATTCTCACCTGGATACTGATATCTAAGTTATGCAACTTTTGGGAGATTGAACTCTGTAAACTTGAAAATACTCTGCACCGTCTGGGGCTTGAACCCGTGTCCTCAGGAATGGAGGCCTGCCACCTTATCCACTAGGCTATACACCACATGAGAATATAACTCCAGATGATTCTTCATACTTATAGTTTGACTTTTTAATTTCAACAGGATTGTTTATGAATTCAATTCAATCTTTTTGAAATTGTTTTAAAGTTTCATAAAAGTAATCCATTAATTGTTCCAAAGATGAATTGAATTTTTTATTACATTTTAAATTAATAAGTGGGACTGTACTGATATACAGTACTGTATATGAAAAACTGTCTTATATTTACACTTTATGTACAGTATTGTATTGTATATGCATTCATGACAGTTCAAACACAAATTATGTGGTGTTACATCTCTCATGACATATATTAAGAAGCCAAATGAATGGGTCAGCAAATGCCTTGGTGAATGGGTGCACCCAGGCCAAACAATTTCTAATGCCCAATTTTTTGCTGGGTACTGCACTGACTTAAAAAAAAAACACACACACACACACACACACAACAGATGAACCTTTTTCAAGGACAAGCACGAGTTCTGAAAAATGCGTACCTCCACCAGATGAAAAAAAAAAAAATCTCGCGACCAACACGACTTGAGTAACTCACGATATTCCGGGACATTATAAACATATTATTTCATCATTCACGATTATATCCTTTAGTCAAAGGAGTAGTCGAAAAGTTTCCACGATTCGGTTTCAATTGAATGGAAGTAAAATAATTTTCATGGGAACAGCTTTGTAAATTATTCAAGTTAGGAGTTTCTTGCACTATACATCACATTTGAAAAAGTACTGTATCCTATATTTCTTCGATCGAATTAAGATTATGCAGAAATTAAATGAATATAATTGAAGGTCATACTCATTCACTCATTCAAACGAATCACTTTCCAGTTTTCCACCAACTGTAAACTCCTAAGTTTTAAGCAAAAAAAAAAGATTTCAATACATAATTTCAGAATAACGTAAGAGTCTGTATATTAAGGTTATAAATTGTAGTAAAAAAAAATTGGAAAATAGGATTTTAACAGCAGAATGGCAAATTCCTCTCAGGAAACTGAAAAAAGTTAATTGTATTCCCTCGTTTTACTGTGCATTAAATATTAGAAGCTCTACATTTCAGGAAAAACATTTACAAATATCGGCGAACGTCCAGTTTTGTTTTCCGGAAAAAAAAAAGATGAAAATTGTTTCGATTGAAATGTTCACAATTACTCATTGGAATGGATCATCACACAAAGCACACACTCATCGATCGCAAGGTCAAGCAAATCTTCCCTTTCGTCCCATTCCATAATTCGTCTGTGACGCAGACACAAGAAAATGTTAGTCAAACTGAAATTTGACCTCTTCATGATATCCAAGATGATGCGTTGAACGAAAAACCCAAGTTTTCACTATTCTTCATATCAAACTCAGAGAATACAAAAAAAAAATATTTAAGTTCTTGAGCTTGGGAGAACAAAATTTAGGAAGTTGAAATTGATGATATTCTTAGACTAGAACTCTTGGGTAAATGAGTTGACGGGATGCTAACCTTGGGAGGCATGGGTTCATTTGCTTAATTAGTCACACACCCTTTTGAAAAACATCAGGCAACACATCTGAAGCTTTTCTCTTTCCTGGGTCCCCAAAAATAACTATCACTCACGTAAAATTTCATAACATTGTATCACTAACATACAATTCTAAAACATTATTTGATTTCATCACCTTCATAAAATTCCACCATAAATAGCAAATCACATTGAAAAAATTACAGCATTTTAATCAGGCAATCACTTGATATCTTTCTTACCGCATTTTCTAAAAAAAAGACAATAAAAGAGAAAGACCTGCAGAAAAATTTGAGCTAAAGAAGTGAATCTTAATTTTTTTCTTGGTGAATTAGAATAAAAGGGACGATATAGACATAAATTTGACAAACGAAGGTTTTTGACTCGTAGCACGGTTCAACTGTACTGTATATAGTTACGCTCGGTTTTTTTGCGGGATTTCTTGAAGAATAAAAATAAAATGTTCAAAGCACAAATCCGAAAGAAAACCTGCTGCGAACCCGTCGCTGCATGCGCAGCTTCTTCCCAGATTTCTTCTCGCAAGGAATGTTCGAATATTTCTCCTGCGTTTCCTCGGAAAACGACGACGATTCAGTTTCCGAGGCATCACGTCGTACATCCCGCGAATACGAGCTCAAATCCCGCTTCTCCTTTTTCGCACGTGCTTCCAAGTCAAGAACTAGTCGAACACGTTTCCCCGCGATTGGTTTCAATTTTAAAGACCCAGCCCCAGATTTTTCTGCACTGCTGCTCGTCGTTGAATTTGATTTGCTGGTGCTGCTGATTGCTAAACGCGGCTTTTGACGACGAACGCTTTTTTTTTGTTTAATGCACCACATCAAAAAATCCCTTTGAGTTTGCGCAAAATTCAAGACACTTTTGCTTCTTGAAACAAAAAAATACTCACTCTGATTCCGTGCTTTTGCTTGAGGTGGAGAGTTGAATGTCGTCATCATACGCAGGAGACTTGGAATTTTCATTGCTGGAGTCCTTCGTTTTTGTTCTCATCTGCTGGAAAATAGGCAAAATGCAAAATCATTGCAACTTACAAAAATTCTTATTACAGTATGTAAATCATGTAAAATTATGGCAGTTCATAACAACAACAAATTTTGTAAGCTATGCAATTTCACGTTCATAATGGAATTAAATGTAAGTGGAACAATAATGTAGAAACAAAGCTTTGGAATTTTATGTCAATAAGTGAAACCATGTTGCGGAATTTTATTCAAGTGTAAATGATGTTACAGTATAATGTTGTGAAAATTTTACGGGAGTGCTACAACGTTATGTGAATCATGCAATGTTGTGCAAATTCTTCATTGTCCGGTAAATTTTTCAATGTCATGAGTTCTGCACAGCAGTTATGTACAGTACTTCAAAAAAGGTAGGTTATGTTACCCTGAGAGCGCACGATGCATAATTAAATGAATAAAAGGTATGTAACACAGCATTTGAAGTTTATGTGGGTAATATTGACATCCAAGGTAAAACTGACGCCAGTAGTAAAAAAAAATAACTGAATGCACGTGAATCACCTTTTTCAGTAGTTTGACGTGATTCCGTACATGGATTAAAAGTTGCTGGAAAGACTCAGTTACTTCGCCAATAGTTTCTGCATCTTCTGGACAGCTCCTGCATTGTAATTCAGTTCCCCGGATCAATAGTGTATCAGCTTCTTCCATCACTTCCTTAGCGAATACTTCAATTTCCTGAAAAAATGCAATAACACCATTAAACTCATGAAAGCTGTCGAAAATCGCTTCAGCTTCAATATTGTTCCATAAAATAATTCATCGCGCAGAAAGGTTTCATTTTTTCTAAGCTTACAATAAGCAAAGCGAAATACTGAGGCTAGGATATTTGGCACTTGTACACGAGAGGTGACCCACCGAAAAATCCATGCGCGCCGCCATGACTTTTGACACTCTCGCCATCTATGAACAGAACATTGAACAATGAATCTCTCCAGCAACACTGGCCAGGCTCCCCATATACAGTTCTGTACTCCTCTGCATTATGATGCAAGTTCACAATCACCATGAAACTTCAGGCCTCCTACTAGTATAGAAACCTAATCTCCCTGCTATAGTAGAAACCTAATATCCCTTCTTGTAGAAACTTCAGGTCTCTCTTCTTGTAGAAACTTCAAATATCCCTTCTTGTAGAAACTTCAAATATCCCTTCTTGTAGAAACTTCACATATCCCTTCTTGTAGAAACTTCACATATCTATTCTCGTAGAAACTTCAAAGATCCCTTCTTGTAGAAACTTCAGATCCCTTCTTGTAGAAACTTCAAATACCCCTTCTTGCAGAAACTTTAAATATCCCTTCTTGCTCTTTGAAGTTTATGGGGAAGAACGTCTTTGAAATTTATAGGGAAGAACGTCTTTGAAATGTATAGGGAAGAACATCTTTGAGTTATAGAGAAGAACATCTTTGAATTATAGGGAAGAACATCTTTGTTCTAGTCTCTCTTATAGTGGAAACTTCACATATCTCATCTAGTAGTCTCTCTTGGTAGATTGAAGACCGGTCGATACGTATCTTGTAAGGAGACGTAATACTGTGTTCAAGTGTTAGTCAACAAATTCCTTGGCATTCTGCTGAAACTGACTTTGGAGGCAGTTAGGTAAAGTTAGGTTAGGTTAGTTTATGATGGTTAAAAATATCTTTTAACTATCATAAACTAACCTAACCTAACTTTACCTAACCGCCTCCAAAGTCAGTTTCAGCAGAATCCCACAGAAAAGATAAACTGACTTTGGGGGGCGGTTAGGTAAAGTTAGGTTAGGTTAGTTTATGTTGGTTAAAAACATCTTTTAACTATCATAAACTAACTTTACCTAACTGCCTCCAAAGTCAGTTCCCACAGAAAAGATAAACTGACTTTGGGGGGCGGTTAGGTAAAGTTAGGTTAGGTTAGTTTATGTTGGTTAAAAATATCTTTTAACTATCATAAACTAACCTAACCTAACTTTACCTAACTGCCTCCAAAGTTGGTTTCTGCAGAATGCCAAGGAATGGATGAAAAGTTGCTCATAATTAAACTATCCTAACCTAACTTTACCTAACTGCCTCCAAAGTTGGTTTCTGCAGAATGCCAAGGAATGGATGAAAAGTTGCTCATAACTTGTTGGGATTATGAACTTGCATGGTGATTATGAACGCGCGTCGTATACTGTATCTGGGAGTCTGGCCAGGGTTGCTGGATAAGAGGGTTTAAACTATAGGGGATTCATTTTGCCGGTAGATGTCACGTTTGTATGACGCGCGTGGATTTTTTGGTGGGTCACCTCTCGTGTACAAGTGCCCGCCTTCGTTCACTCCGCTCTGTCTCGTAACTTTCAATTAACAATCATTCTGTTCTCTACGAAACATCGATTATGTGCTGGTGGTGTGAAGGGATCCAAATGTCGTCTCGTAGATATATTCTGAGATTGCCAGGGTTGCTGGATAAGAGGGTTTAAACTATAGGGGATTCATTTTGCCGGTAGATGTCACGTTTGTATGACGCGCGTGGATTTTTTGGTGGGTCACCTCTCGTGTACAAGTGCCGTGTTAGGTGCTTGCATGATCATTTATTGATACTTGTGATTTCTACGAGGACAAGCGTACCCTGTTGGATGTCGAACAGCGAAGAGGGTGTGATCGTCTTATCTTATCAGTCATCGTCCTGTTATCATCTAATGAGCAAAGTTGTCTCGGTCAGTGCGTTCGTATTTGTGTTGACAGTGTACCGTAAGTTCCATAGTTTCGCGATTAATTAGGGTGAAAAGTTAATTTCAGATGATGAACAAACTTTTAACATGCGATATTTGTGTGCCTGTATTCTTGTATGAGAAGCTGAAACAATCCGTATTTTGAAGCGTGAAGCAGTTCAGGGAACTCAGTATGCAATATCAATTTCATTTTCTGTAAGCGTGCTGCCGGTTTTCTCTCGTCGTTGTCTCGTTGTGATTTCGTTTCGTACATATGGATGTATTTTGTTTAAGGAAAGTTTTTCGCGTGTGACTATGGCTGAAGTAGCCGCGGATATTGCTGCGACGGTCGCGAAATTTTCGCCGGAGCAGCTCTATGATTTTGTTGGAGAGATGAAAGCTTGTGTTGACGTGAGTGACGGAGGATTTTAAAGCAGTATTCGTTTGTATAATTGTTCGAAATCTTTACAGAACAATGCAGCTGAAGCAGAAGCGATGTTGATGCAAAATCCTGCTCTGAACTACACATTATTGGAAGCATTGATTTTGATGGGTCTCGTTGATTCAGTTTCAGTTGCTGTTAGTTGCTTCAGCCGTTCATCGTTTCATGCCGTTCGGTTATTTCGAGCTGAAAGCATTCTTTTTTCAACAGGAGCGCCTGATGGTTACACCAGCAATTCCACTGCCGGCTGACGACGAAAAAGCCTTGAAACCAGTAGTACAGATGGAAATTGATCTTGTGGAACGTCCGCAGAAGGTTACAGAACCAGTTACTGCTCGAAGTGATGCCAAGGCTGGCCGCATCAGCGATCCTAGGCTCGTTTTTTTTCATATTTAAAGTTTTTGCTCGATTTCGGCGAATATATCCTTGTGGCCGCTGGTACGCGAAATTTTCCACGCTAGATGAGTTCATTTGATTCTATTCTGTGGGACGAGTCTGGCGCGGCGTCGCGCTTGACACATTTTTGGAATGATGTCCTTGAACCTGTGGTCAGCTGAAATTGCCTGCAGATCTGTTTCATAATCTGAGGTCATCATATGCTGGATGCCTCAAAAATATCTTCGCTGATATTTCCACAGATTGGTTTTAGTTGTAGACCACTGTCGAGGTAGACAAATGCTGACAAAATATCTGACTTGTCTCATTTATGTATTTTTGAAAGAATCCTCATTTATTTTCAAGTTTGAAATGGCCAAAACTTCATGAATTATTGTCTATTTTTCGCCTACGTGGAATCATTGCTCATTTCTGTGTAGCACCATAACTATCATATCTAAAATGCAAGTTGAAGTGTCATCTACATTAATACCCGTGCATGTGAGGTACAAATTTACTCAGGTCGGGCTTCGGGAGTTATGAGACAGATTCACGATTTGGTTACATAATTTTTTGTGTTATGTATTGTATGCGGTATTTTAAAATTGTCCCCGATTTTTCTCTCAAGCCTTATTTCAGTTTAATGTACGGTATATTATATTTGCAGACGATTGAGAAAGCCATTGCCTACACCGCAAACTCCCCCTCCAGAAGCACGTCCATCGGCTGCCGCTACTCAGGAAGAAGTTGAGAGCAGAAGATCGAGAGATCCTCGGTTGGCATCCAGAGGCAGACAGCCGCCGCCACCACCGGCTGCGGCGCCGGTGCCGAAAGTCGAGACGCCAGCGCAGCCGGAAGCGAATACTGCAGACGTGGAAGATGAGCGAACTGCACTCATCATGCAGGTGTTGCAGTTGACCGAGGAGCAAATCGATATGCTCCCGCCTGAACAAAGGGAAGGAGTATTACAGCTGAGAGAGCAGATTAGGCTACAGAATGCCGCCGTTTGATCTCGTCTTTGAACATTGAGAACCCTTTCGGAGAAATGTGTGATGAATACGTTGACGACCATGCAGGATTGAATATACTGCCTCTCCAATCGTGAGCTTTCTGGGGACAAAGTGAATCATGTTTGTTCGTCAGTGTCGGTTGAGATTTTCATGGCTTTCTCGTGGAAAAATATCTTGAGAAGAAGCAGAAACAGCGAATGGACGTGGGCGAAGTCGTGCATGATGTTTCACCTCCAAATAAGCTATAAAATTTTCACTGCTTTCATCTTTGGAATGGACGAGCTTTTTTATTTTGAATAATTCATATTTCCTGCTCCCTGGGAAATTTAAATTTCAGCTGAATCATGCAAAAACATTCGTTCAAGGATTTATTTCCTCGGATGATCACCATGTTGAAGATATGAATAATCTTATGACCCTCTCTATGGTCACGATCGCGTTGTGGAGATCATGATACTTTTGTGATCATCGTGGTACCTCATCTTTTCGGTACTGGGTGAAGATGATAAATGAAAGAGTGATAAATGGTAATTTTCTGATTTGTATTTCTGTGTGATAATTTCGCAATGTTTACGATTCTACGTGGTCATGAAAATGTGATCAAAATTTCAGAATTTGCAAAAATGGCTCCGAAGGAGAACGTAGATATTGCGAAAGAGAGGAAATCTTGTTCATTTGACAAACGAGAACTGACGTGGTTGCTCGATGGTGGTCGCGATGCAAGTGAACGGCGGAAGCGCATGGGTGAGTCCTTCAACTCTTCACGGCTTTTCATCGACTTGAAAAGTGTATCCGTTGTGTATGTGAATAAGAAAATTTGCATGAACTTCAATTGACGAGCGGTTCTCGAGATTAAAATGAGAAATATGCGGAGGCTATTATTTATACCCATATCGGGAAAATGATTGTTTTTTCTGGTGGATAAATTTCAGAGGAATATATTCTTAGTCAGCCGGGAATGTATGAAGGAATTGGGGCCTACGATTTTTTGAGCCACGAGGACAGGTACACAAAAAGCATTGAAAAAGGCGCTAAAATGCTTCAGTTATGCTTGAAAGCTGACGAAGTTCTTGGAGATGGGTATCAGTACGAGGCAATGAGGTGAGCTAGCCTTTATTTACAGAAAACAATATTTTTATTTGTATCCATGCATATTTGGTTGCGCTCTTCGAGTGATTTTCCATTTAAACTGTTCTACCAATGAAACTTACAGTCATCTAATATTCGAATTACCCATTAAAATCTGAATGGTTACCTTTACGAAAATGCCTGAAATCGGAACATTTTCTACTCCAGTATGTGATAGTTCCATGTATCTGCCTGCCTTGTAATGACCTCCATGACCGTTCGTGAAAAATCGCTCGTAAAATAAATGTGCGAGATGCATTCTTTCATTTAAATTTTGATTTTACGAGTTTTCTGGATTTCAGACCATGCTCTGAACGAGGCTGTGTAAGTAGTGTAAATGATATTTTCCATTTACCCATCTTGAACGAAAGTTCGCATTTTTATTGTTGCCTGAACGGAAGAAGAGCCGATATGTTTTTGCATCGACGAAAAACGAGTTATCGAACACCTTGTCTAATATGACGGATTGGTAAGAGCATTGATTCTTCACTCTGAATGTAAAATTTGTGATAGCCGGTAAAATCATTAAAAATTTGAGGAATGAAATGCGTGTACATAATATTTTGTTTGACTGGTCATGGTCGTCATACTAATTCAGCTGGAACCACAAAATCAATACCGTTGTTTTGGCATTTGAGTCAGATTTCGTCAGACTTTCTTTCAATTTTGACGCTGTAATTGTTTAGTTGAGATAACTTGTTGATTGTTCAGTTATTTTTCAACCTTACTGATCTCAGTCTTCTGGACGGTTTTATATTGTGTTATTACAACTGATACATTCTGGGTTTGTAGGATGTTCAATTTCCCGACGCTCAGTGGCGCTGTCATTCCGGATGGAAATCCTTTCAACTTGCACTTCGTCATGTTTTTGACCACATTGACTGGTCAAGGANTTTCATCTTTGGAATGGACGAGCTTTTTTTTATTTTGAATAATTCATATTTCCTGCTCCCTGGGAAATTTAAATTTCAGCTGAATCATGCAAAAACATTCGTTCAAGGATTTATTTCCTCGGATGATCACCATGTTGAAGATATGAATAATCTTATGACCCTCTCTATGGTCACGATCGCGTTGTGGAGATCATGATACTTTTGTGATCATCGTGGTACCTCATCTTTTCGGTACTGGGTGAAGATGATAAATGAGTGAGTGATAAATGGTAATGTTCTGATTTGTATTTCTGTGTGATAATTTCGCAATGGTTACGATTCTACGTGGTCATGAAAATGTGATCAAAATTTCAGAATTTGCAAAAATGGCTCCGGAAGAGAACGTAGATATTGCGAAAGAGAGGAAATCTTGTTCATTTGACAAACGAGAACTGACGTGGTTGCTCGATGGTGGTCGCGATGCAAGTGAACGGCGGAAGCGCATGGGTGAGTCCTTCAACTCTTCACGGCTTTTCATCGACTTGAAAAGTTTATCCGTTGTGTATGTGAATAAGAAAATTTGTATGAACTTCAATTGACGAGCGGTTCTCGAGATTAAAATGAGAAATATGCGGAGGCTATTATTTATACCCATATCGGGAAAATTATGGTTTTTTTTTGTGGATAAATTTCAGAGGAATATATTCTTAGTCAGCCGGGAATGTATGAAGGAATTGGGGCCTACGATTTTTTGAGCCACGAGGACAGGTACACGAAAAGCATTGAAAAAGGCGCTAAAATGCTTCAGTTATGCTTGAAAGCTGACGAAGTTCTTGGAGATGGTTATCAGTACGAGGCAATGAGGTGAGCTAGCCTTTATTTACAGAAAACAATATTTTTATTTGTATCCATGCATATTTGGTTGCGCTTTTCGAGTGATTTTCCATTTAAACTGTTCTACCAATGAAACTTACAGTCATCTAATATTCGAATTACCCATTAAAATCTGAATGGTTACCTTTACGAAACTGCCTGAAATCGGAACATTTTCTACTCAAGTATGTGATAGTTCCATGTATCTGCCTTCCTTGTAATGACCTCCATGACCATTCGTGAAAAATTGCTCGTAAAATAAATGTGCGAGATGCATTCTTTCATTTACATTTTGATTTTACGAGTTTTCTGGATTTCAGACCATGCTCTGAACGAGGCTGTGTAAGTAGTGTAAATGATATTTTCCATTTACCCATCTTGAACGAAAGTTCGCATTTTTATTGTTTCCTGAACGGAAGAAGAGCCGATATGTTTTTGCATCGACGAAAAACGAGTTATCGAACACCTTGTCTAATATGACGGATTGGTAAGAGCATTGATTGATTCTTTACTCTGAATGTAAAATTTGTGATAGCCGGTAAAATCATTAAAAATTCGAGGAATGAAATGCGTGTACATAATATTTTGTTTGACTGGTCATGGTCGTCATACTAATTCAGCTGGAACCACAAAATCAATACCGTTGCTTTGGCATTTGAGTCAGATTTCGTCAGACTTTCTTTCAATTTTGACGCTGTAATTGTTTAGTTGAGACAACTTGTTGATTGTTCAGTTATTTTTCAACCTTACTGATCTCAGTCTTCTGGACGGTTTTATATTGTGTTACTACAACTGATACATTCTGGGTTTGTAGGATGTTCAATTTCCCGACGCTCAGTGGCGCTGTCATTCCGGATGGAAATCCTTTCAACTTGCACTTCGTCATGTTTTTGACCACATTGACTGGTCAAGGAACCTTGGAGCAACAGACGGAGTGGCTAGGGAGAGCATGGAATTGCGAAATAATTGGGACATACGCTCAAGTATGATAGTGTAATTTGGAGAACAGTTCGATTGGAGCTGACGTTCTCTGATCTTTGCTTAAAGACGGAAATAGGTCACGGAACATTTCTTCGTGGGTTAGAGACGAAAGCAGAATACGACCCAACAACTGAGGAGTTTGTTTTCAATACCCCAAGGTTGAGTGCCACGAAATGGTGGCCAGGAAGTCGTACGTTCTCTGGTTTTTTTCTGTTGTATAATTCGTTAATCGTATAATTTCATTGAAAATTTAGTGGGGAAAACTGCAAATTATGCGATCGTTCCGGCACATTTGTACATTCACGGAGTCAATTATGGGATGCACACGTTTATTGTGCAGCTTAGAAGAGAAGAGGATCACACTTCTATGCCGGGTGAGGATTGAGTCGTGGAAAATAACATTTGCCAGACTGCCAGGATTGATTTAGGATTTTTTTTATCACGTCTAAATGTGGTCCTTGGGACACGTTTTTAATTTAGAACTCTCGAAACCGCCGTGGTATCAATGACATGATGAAGTACGCCTCAGTTCAATTGTCGAGGATAGTCTTCGATAGCGACGAAACTAGAGCAACATTTTGCTGTCCAGTTAGTAATTCTGTATCATTCTGTACCACTCTTCCAAGAATTGTTCTAATAAAGTACCTTATTTGAAACAGGTATCACTACGAAGACTGCTTGCATTATTTCCTTTTAATAGTGTGGTGCACTTCTAACTGTTTCCATTTTTAAACGGGAAGATCGAAGACGGTCTATAGTCTAATGCTTGGGAAATTATGAGGTGGTGCTTGTGAAAATCAAGTTCATATTTTAATGTATTTTATTAAAGAAGCTAACGACTGACACACTTATGAATAAACCCTTGATAGAGGTTCAGAACGAACTTCATTTTTTTCATGAATGCCAACGTCATGGAAAATTAGCGTTTCTAATACTGTATCTAATACTGTAGTCCACAAGAAAATTGTCGATAAATTTGTCACCGTAATTAATTCAAGTTTTGTGTACCGAATCGGCTATTTTCCATGAGTTTTTCACAAATAACGAGAGCCTTTTAAATTCTCAGGGATTACTATTGGTGAAATTGGACCGAAGTATGGAATGAATTCGAATGACAATGGTTTTCTTCACTTGAAAAACGTCCGCGTTCCGCGGAAGAATATGATGATGAAGCATGCGCAAGTTCTACCGGTAAGTTCAGAGTTTTGGTTCTGGAAGTCGGAAGTGTTCATTCGTCGCTTGTCGCACAGGATGGAACGTATGTAAAACCGCAGAATGCGAAATTGAGTTACGGAACGATGATCTTCGTACGAGTGGTGATCAGCCAAGAAGTTGTGATGCAGTTACAGAAAGCTGTTACCATTGCTGTGAGGTATTCCGCTGTCAGGCGACAAAGTAAAATTGAACCCGAGTGAGTCGTTTTGCCTTCCTATTACCCTTGAGTCTTGGCGGACGACCGGTCCGGTTAGTTTAATATCGTATTGGTGATGGTATTGATATCTATATTCAGGCGCAGTCCACAAGTTGAAATGAACACCTCACGGTTATTTATTTTTCAGAGAAGCAGAAGTGCAGGTCATTGACTTCGTCACACAGCAGTTCAAACTTTTTCCCGCGATTGCATCTGTTTTTGCAATCCATTTTGCGGCCGCTGCGCTGTGGGACGATTATCTTGAAGTCACAGCTTCAATGGGTGATGGAAATTTGGATCGTCTACCAGAGGTACTATTTTCTTGATGAAAAAATAAACTTGTTTGGAAGTCTATGAGGAAAATATAGCGTAGACTAAAAATTTTTTTCCTATTTCAAGTGAAAAATAGCAATATTTTTGACTTCTGACTGCATTGATCTAAATGAAACCTTTTTTAATAAAGCAGGGAAATACAGTATGAGATAACATTCGAGTTGAAAATAACTTTTGAATTACCGTATAAAAAGTAACTGTTCCTGCAAAACATGTACAATAATTTGAGGGATATTTACAGTCCGTTTAATCGATTTACATTTACTGTATTTAAATTTACGGTACTGTATGTTGATGCTAATATGGTACTGCCTGATTTCGGCAGTTGCATACGAACAGTTGTGCGACGAAGGCATTGAGTTCTAGTGAAGGGGCAAACTGGGTTGACGTATTGAGAAGAGCATGTGGTGGTCATGGTTATCTGATGTCCAGCAATCTACCAAAGATTTTTGCGACTGTCACAGCATCGTGTACGTACGAGGGCGAGAATACCGTACTTTGGCTTCAAGTTGCGAGGTGAACATCTTCGTCATGATGTGAAAAAACTCGTGACATCGTCTGAGCAACTCGGATGATCATTCCTAAAATATTGACTTTGGTACTAAAGGAAGCTTTGCGCTTTGGCAGGAATATCGTGAAACCAGAATTTTTGGCGGAACAGAAACCTTCGTCTCTCGAAAGTGTTGCGAAGATGTCGATCATTTCTGCCAAGGGTATTTTGGATGTCGATGTTGCCGTGGAAGCATTCCGGAGTATCACCATTGGGTGAGTAGATACTGTAGCCTTTTTTTAAAATTTCAAATCTGATTTTAAAATTACTGTACTTTTAAACCGAATTATGACGTAGTGGTTACTTTTTACACTCCATGTTATAAATACGACTATCCGTTGTATTTCTTGCATCGAAAACACTTACCTGGAAACTCACAATTTTTTGAACTTCTGCGAATCGTTTTGCACGGATTTATAGACGAGTGACGGAAGCATTGGACGAACTTGAATGTCGTAAAATGGCTGGCATGGCACCCGAAGTGGCGTGGAATTCGATTGCCGTGCGACTTGTGGCTGCTGCTGAATCATACGCTAGGCATTTCGTTGTCAAAACATTCGTACAAGGCGTCGAAAGGGCTCAACTCTCTGCCGGAGGAGCTCGAATTTTGCAGTCGTTGTGTCGATTATACGCAGCGTTTTGGATCCGAGAGAACGGTGGGGATTTCTTGAGAGTGAGTACAGATTGTCATCGGTTTAAAAATTGCTAGTGTCACCAGTTCAGTTGGCTACTCGTGTTTGTGTTCGACGGAAATTCCATCTAAAGTGCTTCAAAATTCCATATTTCAGGCATGTTACATTTTTTGTACGAAATCACAAGTTGGTAAATTTACTTGAGCTGTTTCTGTTGAGAATTGTCGTCAAGCTGTGTTATTGGGAACATGACGCAGCTAAATGAACTGAAGTTCTCTCGGGTTATTTACAGTACTTTTGTATGTCTTCAACCATTTCCGGTTGAATTTTACTCATGTAAATCGACAGACGAAATGACTCGACGTTGAAGTTATTCTCTAGCCTCCGCAGCTTCTAGTAGCACTGTCAATCAATTAGTCTTATGGAAAAGAAGAAATTTTTTAAAATCATAAGGCCCAAACTAGCGTGGCTGGAAGACCTTCACCTGTCTACGCAACTCCCAGAGCTTGCCATAATTCGTCCGGAAGCCGTGAACATCGTCGACTCTTTCGGACTTCGTGATGAAATCGTGAATTCAGCGTTGGGGTGCTATGACGGAAACGTCTACGAACGTCTCCTGGAAACTGCCAAAAAAAGTCCCCTGAATCAGAAGGACGTTCCTGATGCTTATCAGAAGTACCTGAAACCGCTCATGAATCAGGCCAAACTTTAAGATGGTTGTTCATACGGGGCCGTATTTATGGGGATTTATCGGAAACCAAAATTTTTACGGTGGCATTTTTTGAGCATATGGGAAAACTATGGTGATCAAACTTACGGGAACATGTTTCAGTCTTGGACATTGGTTGTTTGTTTTGTATTGTTATCAGAGGAAGAAAATATTTCGTCGTGACTCGTGTTACGATGCTGAGCTGGTCAATTGATGCTTTGATTTTGTGCCCGTGGTGCCTGGAGACGGATTGCGATTTTTGGGGTCTGTAATGAAAGGGTTCGACGCTATTGAAATAAGTTTGATCACCTTCATTTCTCCATGCCGTTTTTTAATTATTTTGAATTTTAGAAGCTGTTCCTCTTTAAATTTTCAGAAAAGATGGGTGTGAATATTGATTTGGATGCGGAGAGGAAACTATGCACATTTGATACCGAACTATTGACGGATTTCTTAGATGGAGGACGCGAGAAAAAGATTGCGAGAAGAGCTTTGGGTTAGCACTCATCAAATTTTGAGATTTTTGTTTAGTAGAAGTTGATGGTACTTTCTCAAATCAGTATGATTCGAGATCTGATTGTTGCGAACAATTTCTGCAGAGAACAGAATTTTGAGTGTTCCTGGGCTTTATGAAGGCATCGGAGCGTATGACGCCCTGGGACATGAAGAATATTACGATAAATCTGTCGAAAAGGCTACAAAGCTCCTCAGTGTTTGTCTAAACGTGGAAAACCGAATGGAAGCCAATGTCACTCAGCTACACGGAACACTAAACTCAAAGCACCTTTTGGAAAGGGAGCACAACATCAAACAAGTTGAGCAACTCAAAACGTAGGACGTAGTAAGGCCTACCTTTGGGCGACTGCAATGTCTTCGCAGCGTTTTTGCCGGTCATCAATAGCCAAGGAAGTGACGAGCAGAAAAAAGAATGGCTGATGCGAGGCTTTAATTGTGAATATCTGGGGACGTATGCTCAGGTTCGTTTTAAGCAGGGCTGAGACAGTCAGTCTCCAGCATAAAAGAGCTGCAAAAAATATGTAGCTGGCCGTTTTGTTTTTTTCCCCCATTTTTGTAGTTCTTTGTCTACAGAAGATTTCTTGAAAGAATAATTCGTGAATCTTCAAAGAGAATGCGTGGTGATCTCAGAACTTCCAACAATTTCCTGGACTCCAGAGCCTGAGATAAACTGTTCCTTCTTCTTTGAAAAGTCCGTGAATGAAGTTATTTTAATATCCTGGACTCGAGAGCTTGAGACTAGCTTCACTTAAATGAAAGAATTTATCGTGATCTGCGAAGTAATTCCGATGTATTCGTCTCAACGTAGACGGAACTTGGACACGGAACGAATTTGAGAGAACTGCAGACAACCGCTGAATATGATCCTGAAACGCAGGAATTCGTCTTCAACACGCCGAAGTTGGAATCGATGAAATGGTGGCCAGGTGGAAGTGAGTCGTTCGCAGAGAATCTTTCAAACTGCAGTACTACAATAATCAATATTTGTGCGAACTGTTCGTAGTGGGGAAAACGGTCAATTACGTGATACTTGGTGCCCATTTGATAACCAAAGGACAAAACCATGGCTTGCACACGTTCATCGTACAGATTCGCAGTGAGGAGGATCACACCCCTTTGCCTGGTATGAATCGGCTACTCCCTTTTTTTTTTTAGGCGTGTACGAATTTTAATGTTCTTATTCAGGTGTCACGGTCGGGGAAATCGGCAGAAAGTATGGGATGAATTCGAATGATAACGGATATTTGATGCTGAAAAATGTGCGGATGCCGAGGAGTCATATGCTGATGAGACATGCTCAAGTTTTGCCGGTACAGTTTGTAAAAATGTTTTCGTTTGGTCGTGAATTATTTGATTTTCTGTTGAAGGATGGAACTTATGTGAAGCCGAAAAGCGACAAACTGAGCTACGGTTCAATGGTTTTCTTGCGAGTAGTAATCGCAAAAGAAATCGGGAAGTGGCTGAGAAAAGCTGCGACGATTGCCATTCGGTATTCTGCGGTGCGGCGGCAGTCTGAGATTGAAGCGGGGTAAGTTGAATTCTTTATTTCTAAGTTCCCGAAAAAAAATGTGACCCAGGAAAATGAAAAAACCGTGTAGAGTATCTTTCAATACAGACCCGACTTTCAAAATGAATGCTTAAGATTCAAAGAAAACTCGTTTCGAATGCTCTGTAATTTTTTATTTTACAAAAATGACAAGTGGAATTTGTTCCTCAAATTCCGTACAGTACATGTATTGAACAAATAAAAATTTACTTTTCATGAATGATCTTCATTACATTATGAATTGAAGTATGTACAGTACATAATTATAAATTTATTCGTACCATATTACGATTTCTCCCTACAGAAAGAACTAGAAAATTTCGATCATATCTCAAGTTGAAAATATTACGAAATGGAGTTCAAAGGAAAGCTCAGATTCATGTTCCCAGCTTTCTTAGTTATAAAAATTTGGCATCTTTGAGATCGGACTAGAACTTGTGCTATCCTATTATTTACATGAACAAACGAAGTCGATCCTGTAATACTGGAAAATGCTCTTTAGTATCTCTACAAGAAGAAAATGATATCTTCCTTATTTTTGTGAAGAACACCCTTCATCTTGAGCACCTTATGAGAAGACAAACACAAGATAAGTTTTCGATTTGCCATGATCCTATAAGAAGTAAATCAGTTAATAGTACTAATACCTTTAGGAGGCTAAAAGTCCTTTCCTCTTCACGTTCAATAACTGAAGAACTGCGTCGTCATGAAATTATTTCCAGCTTTGGCTTTTTGCTTTGGAGTAGAATTTGCGTCAGAAGAGGTATGGAAGGAATACAATTCCGTGACGGCGTCAATCGATCGCGGCGATGTGTCAACCTTGCCGATGGTGAGTAATGCGAACGCGAATTCATGTGGGCATATAAATTGAACACTGTGCTGTACTGTAAAAAGGATGCCCAGTACAGTATTCATTAAATCACACATTGATATTGGGAATGCGAAAAATGATTTTCGGTGTGATTAAAGTTCTTGCAAGAATTTATGTATGCCGTATTCTCCTGTGAATGGTCTGACAGCTACACATCAGGAGCTGTTGCTTGAAAGTGATTGTTTCGAGTTGCTCTGCGGAGTTCGTTGATATTCTGCGTCGAGCATGCGGAGGCCATGGCTTTATGATGTCGAGCTGTTTTCCGAAACTTTATGGGCAAACCACGGCTGCTTGTACCTACGAGGGTGACAACACGGTCTTGTTACTTCAGGTGGCTCGGTACGTATTGTACAATGCCAAGAAATGCGTAGTACAGTAATTGCATCGGAATTGAAAATGATTTTTTTTCTCACATTTAGAGGAATTCTCAAGCCGAGCTTCAAATGGTCAAAACCTGTGACTGGAAGTTTATTCATACCGGCCGAAAAGAAAGTGAACCTTGCTTCAGTTCCAGGAATTTTTACCACTGTCGCAAGAAAGTAAGTACATTTTAATCGCCTCAAAGTGCAATTTTATCCGAAGAAAATATTAGTTGATGTACAGTACTTCAATCGGTCAAGTGCATTAAACGAAATGCCAGTAACTGCATTGAATGACGAATGAGTTGAAGATCCCCAAATATTCCTTGAACTTGTTAAAGGTAAACAAAGTTGAATGGCTAATCTGTTCCATGTCCGTCTTTTTTTATGGTCTTGAATAAATTACATGGATATTTTAAATTAAATAACATCAAGCATTGATGTTGACTTGAGGGAAAATATGCTCAGCTATGAAAATGAAGCTTGTATCCACTTGAAGCAGCTATTCCGCTTTCTGGAAGGAAGTTGAATAGCTTTTTGTATATTACTGTCGAAGTTTTCTTTTTTTTTAATACTTTGAGATGATGATAAACTCTTGAAAAATTCAATTTTCAGCCGGGTGGAAGCGTGCCAGATTGAGCTGGACCAGTTGCAAAAGTCGGGTTTGTCGACTGATGCCGCTTGGAATTCAATGGGAATGCGTTTGATTGCAGCTGCCGAATCATACGGGAGACAGGTCGTAATGGACTCTTTTGTTGCCAAACTTTTCACAGCTTCGGTTTCCCCGGAAATTCTCCGAGTTTTGAAAAGCTTATGCCGCCTTCTTGCCACATCCTGGATCCGTCGATATTCCGGAGAATTCATTACGGTTAGTTTCTTTCAACAATGAAATTTTGTCGAATAATGACTACAGTATTGGAATTTTTCTTCTGCAAAATTTTTGGGATAATAAAAATATTGCCGATCGATATACAATTTGAACGCTTTTTTAAATGCGATGAGAACGCGTTTCTGCGACATAAATGTTCTTCTCATGTACTGTATGTCTATCTTCACGTTTTTTGTTGATGCACAGTTTTATACGGTCATGATTTTTCTCTCTTGATGGGAATTTGGGTTAATGAAAAACCACCAAAATCCTGGTCGTTTATTCTTATGATCAATCCAGCTCAAAGAAGAAGAATATTGTAAGCTGCCGATCTTTGAATGGGAATCATCTTTAAGTTAGAAAGGGCGGCTGAATCAGAAGTGTAACTTTTGTAATGAATAAATAATGATTCCTGCAATGCGAACCAGTGCGATTTATATTTCTGAAGGAGGGCGCTGGCTTTTGCTCATTTTGACTGGTGATCGAGAAATTTCTGATGAACATGTACACTTAACTGGGAGTGCCAAAGACAAAAATGTTCGGTTTGTTGAGCTACTTTTGCTGTTCGCACGTCTCGTAAATTTGGATATCATTATGGCTTCTGTCTCTCTGTGAAAAACATTTGTTTACTAGTCTTCTGCTTCGCTAGTATTTTCCCATACGAAATAACCATCAAGATTTGAATAAAATCAAAATCTTCAATTAGCTTTCACAAAACCTGAATTTTCTTTTTTATTGACGAGGCTGTATTGGCAAGATTGGTGTTCATTTTTTTTAGTATGGTGGCCTCACAGCAGTGGACATCCAGCTGATCGACGAATGCCTCGAAGCCGAGTTGAAAGAAATCCGGCCGAATGCAGTTGGAATTGTGGATGCGTTTGACTTCAGGGATGAAATATTAAACTCAGCCCTGGGCTGTTACGATGGCAATGTTTACGAGCGACTTCTCGAAACTGCCAAGAAAAGTCCACTCAACAAGAAGGATGTTCCAGATGCTTTTGAGAAGTACCTAAAACCGTTGATGATGCAATCGAAACTGTGAACGGCGAATTTGACCTGTGATGCATTTATTTTCGATGTACATTTGGCAATCGGATTTGTGGTGCTTCAATATTTTATCTATTTTTGGATTTTTTTTTTTGCTCGGGTTTATTTCGCAGATTTTATATTTTGCTCAGGGGGGCTGGAATTTTATGGTGTTATTGCTTTAAGATGTCCGTAGACTTAATTATTGGTTGTTTTTTCGTCTGTGGAAATTGAAGACTGAAATTGATCGATCAATGCCGATTCTGAGATCTCATGTTTGTGAACTTGCGATGGAGTGTGAAGGCTGTTACCTTTGCGCTTAGATTTACATCTTGAATCAGCTAATGCCCTGGACCAATTATTTATTCATAATTTCTTTACGTCCTACAACCTAGCCCGCCAAATGTCTCGGAAAGATAAAAATGCTGCTGCTACTGCTGGCTTCTTCCCTCCACATTCTGCGTAAAACTTGACTCATAGAGAATTTAAATGATGAGGATATTGAGATTTCACGCTATAAAAAATACACGGAGATCACGCTGAATTTCACCTGCGGTAATGGACTTTTTTCTTTTCTGTGGAGTAGGTAGGGTACAGCATTAACAGATGAAAAGGGACGAATTTACCAATTATATTGGGTCAATGGGACTAGCAGGGGGAAATTGAACTGGAAGCTGAATCAAGGTGTGAAATTTTCGCGGAAAGGTAGCAAACGTCGTGCATTATCAGAAGTGGTTTCATATGCGCTTCGTTATGCAGATGAGGGAAGGAAAATTATCCAGTGGGCATTGGTGAAAAATCGCGTGAGTGTCGATGTCGTCGGCGATGGCATACCGTCGCCTGGACACGGATTGCCCGGCGACAGGAGTTGGTGGCGGCGGCGAGGACGGGTCCCGCAATGTCCCAGGTGGTACGCCAGTCGACGCCTTGCTGATGGACTTGAACCGGAAGAGAGATTTTAAATTTATTGCCACCGTGGCCCGATTGGTACTCTATTTCCTCCGCACGTTTTGGACAGCGTGTTCGACGTGCGTTTTTGTCCTGGTTGCGCTGTACTGGATGTACGGAGGATTGGTGACACTGGGCATGTGTTTTCTCGGCATTTTAGGTGAGAACGTCATCTATTCTTTTTAGTAAAAGAAAGAAAAGCCTGCTTGACCGGTAATAAGGTTTTTTCTGAATTTGCTGAAGAACTCCGAACGACATTGTTTTTTATTTGGCGTTTTTACTGTCATTTGAAGATCATCTCGGAAAAATAATAAGCTGAAAAATTTGTATTTACCCTTTTCTTCCTGAAAAGGGTAGATAAACAGATTTGTTTCTAGGTATCACAAGAGACCGTTTTACGAAAATATACGCGTGAGATGATTTCATAAAATGGGGTAGATTTAGATTCATTTTCTCTCTCTTTGTAAGGCGGAATTGTATAAGCCTCGTCGTGATACCCATGTATGATGCAGTTAAAAAACGGTGACGGGTGCAGTAAGAAAAATGCGTGAAACATGCAATACAGTATACCGTATTCAATCTTGTACCACGCGCTTTTTTCTTAAAATTAGAAAAAAAGGGGTGCGCTTCCTAGGTCAGTATACATTTTTGAAAAAGTTTTAGAAGTTTAGGCATGTATCATACAGTATCGATTCTAATGGGAATTTAGGATCAGTTTTAACTTAACAACTGATTATAATTGAAATCGTTGAAAACTAGTCAAATTAAAACTAATTAAGGATCAGTTCATGTTGAAATTCAAATTTGGTATTCTTTTAAATATCTCAGTTTTAGTCACTGAAATGGGGTACGTGTCTTACTCGGGGATACAATTTCATCATAATTTTTACTGAAAAACCCTGGTGCGCGTCTTACCCAAGGGCGCCTGCCACTCTAGTATAAATACGGTGTTATCGAATCGAATTGATTGAAGTGTGGAACCGATTTTCTGAAGACATCTTGTTTCCCTTGATTGTGCAGGAATGGTATACCAAGTCGGAGACTACTTCCTCTACTTCCCGAACCAGCCTTCTGATTCGAGGGTATTTGTGGCCCTTCCGTCCATTTATCAGTTGCCGTTTGAACTGGTGAACTTCAAAAGTGTTGACAAAACAAAACTTTGTGCGTACCTCATCAAACAGCCCGACTCGATATCTGCTCCCACAGTCCTATATTTTCATGGAAACGCTGGCAACATTGGACACAGGTTCTGATAGCTTTCCTAATGCTTTTCCTCAATTAAATATTTGAATCAGGAATGTTGTGGTTTTCCATTTTTGCCTTTTTGGGTGTTCAAAAGTGGATCTGAACCACTGCACGCGAACTGAAGGGCTTTCATTTTATGTCTTGGAATTGATGCCTTCCCGTTTTTTCTATGAATTTTTGAATGCAGGTTGCAAGATGCTTCCAATATGTTTACCAAGATGCGGTGCAATGTATTTCTTTTGGAATACCGAGGCTATGGGAAGTCTGATGGAAAGCCTTCTGAGTCTGGGCTATACATGGACGCCCAAGCCGCTTTGGATCATTTGATTTCTTTGCCGAGCTTGGATCACAATAAAATATTCGTCTTTGGGCGATCTTTGGGTATGTTTTCACGAAATCTTTTCTAGTTATGAGTTTTTAAATGTGCATCTACTAAAGGGGCGGTGTCTTTCGTAACATTAACGAGCTTTGTTGTATGCACCACCGTATTCGCAAGAAGCAAGTTAAATTCTTCTGCAGTTTCATGTCAAAGATAATTTGTTGCTTTTGAAAGTTTGGCTATTTTCAATTGTGCCCCGAAATTAGGTTGTAGGAAGTTTGCTAGCGATTTAGCCTAACCTTCCGTAGCCTTGAGTAACCCGACCTCACGTGTCCCGAACTGACTTCCACTCAACTAAGTGTAACGAAATCCCAGACTTAGCCTATTTACCTAGTCGAGAAACTTACAATTTGGGGCCTTATGTTTCCAAGTGAAAAGAGCCGGATGTTTTTCATACTATCTGTATAAGACGATTTGACAAAAGCTTGACATTGTTTCAATTCGTTCCAGGGGGCGCTGTCGCAGTAGATTTATGCATAAAAAAAGCGAATGCAGGGAAAATTGCTGGTGTGATAATCGAAAACTCGTTTACAAGCATTCGAGAGATGGCATTCATCCTCATGCCGTTCAAAGCGGTGAAATACATTCCCAGGATACTTTATAAGAGTAAAGTACGTATTTCCTCGGGGTATTTTTAATCATTAGTGGTTTAGGTGCATTTTGGATTTTTTTACAGTTTGACAGTTCGTCAAAAGTAAGAAACCTGCGGCTGCCGTGTTTGTTCTTGTCGGGCAGTGCAGACTGTTTGGTGCCCCCTAAAATGCTACAAGATCTGTATACGTCGTGTGGTTCAGCCGAGAAGTCTTTGATTGTGTTCCCGAATGGAGGGCATAACGATACCTGGACGTGTCCTGGGTATTACGATTCCATTGCGGATTTTATGCAGAAGGTATTGACAATTATCTTTACTTTGAAAAACCCTCGTGTTGATTTTCATTTGTTTTCATTCATTAGAGAAACTTGATTATTTTCATTAAAAATGTGCGCGTCCTCTTCAAAAAACTCGTAATCCTTTGTTACAATTACGAGTATTTACGCTTATTTACTGCTGATGTACTTCTAGAAATAGACATAAACCATCCAGACAGTGAATTTTCTGACGACATTTCTTTTTTTTCTTTTTCCAGACGCTATTGTCCAAAGAAACGTCCGGAAACGGAGAAGTCCCTTCTGGGGAAGATTACAATGGATCTGTTACCGTGCGAGTGTCTGACTTTGTTTAAATTCTTCTGTTGCAATTCAGCTCCGCACCATGTCGGACTACCAAAATTGTCTCACAACTGTGTTTCTTGTTTTTCGTTTTATTCCCTGTGCTTTTTGTGATGCGGTTAATTTCAAGTTCCATTTAGCATCGGTTATCTGTGAATTTATTTTGGTGCGTTGGTGTTCGCTTTTGTTATACACAGGATAAAATCTCATGAAGATGAGCTGTTCTGTTCACGAAGTTAACGTCACAGAATTTTTCCTAAATTTTGACAGTGTGTCCGTGATCAGTTTTATGCCCTGGTGTCCAACTGTATCCGGAAAGCTGTGACTGATTATTTTGAAGGAAGTAACAATAGCAAATGAAACTTCGCAGTCGTTAAATCTAAAGGCGCTATTTAGAATAAAGTAAAAGAAGTTACAAAGAACCTTAAAAGCTAAAATCTCTTATAAATAAAGACTTATACTGGCTCAACCACCTTTTTAAATGCGACATCGAGGAGTGGACACTTGCAACGGATAGTCGTTTATTGAAGTGCATCGAATCCCTTTCTGAAGTGAGTGTTCCATCCTTTTTCTACTATAATTTTCGAACAATTTTTTTTCGAATCGAAATCAATTTGTTTTGGCGGGAAATTTTGACCCCGTGTTTTGCTCCCCATGTCTACTGAACAGTAAAAAAATACCGGAGTTGATTGTCTACCGTAGATTACAGTTTCTCACATGCGTTTATTCAATTGGAAACAATATTATTCCGTTTCTCGCGGATTTTGAGCGAAATGTGTTGCAAAACCCGTTCATTTCGCTTCGAATCTTTTTGTAGTTTTTCTCGACGATGACATATGGTTGCTTTTCGAAATCAAGCAGAGACAAGAAACTGTACTGTTTGGCGGACGAGACGGAACGAGTGGGAATCTGCGTAGAAAATGCGAGCAACTCCTTCCTGTGCCTTTCAAATACTCAGTTCATCGAAAACCGGGTTTACGAGGAAGACCCGTCTACTTTTGCCGTGCCAGTTATCGACAAGGTAACCTCCTAGAATATAATTTCCTTTGTTGGGTAATCGTTTATTTTTGACGACGTGCGCGTCATGAGATTGTATTTTTTCAGTTTATCTGTCTTACAAACGGAAGATACCAAGAATAATTTGTTTTTGTGTTGATGCATTCGTGAGATTCGTCCGAAGTCCTTTGTCGCATATCTTCTGTCGATCGCGATTAACTGGGAAGTGGTCACGTATTCACTTGATCATTCGACGTAAGGTGTTAGATTTTAGCGCGATGTTTTCAAAAATTTGTAAATTCCGGCTTAAAAATTGTACGATGATTTTTTTATGTAATTTTCAATATAATCCGGACACACACAATTCCAAGACGATTTCCTGCTCTCTAAGTAGAAAACTGGAGCAATCCACATTCCCCAATCTTAACTCTTCTTGAAAAATGTAAATTTCCACCTCTGGGATTCAGTGCTACTTTCGAGTCATTGATTTAATAGTCTGTACTGTCGAAGATTTGGCTAAATTTTTGTCCACCCTTGATTTATCTGAGATTTTCAAAAATTTTAAAGATGATAAACTCGGAATTTATTGATGAATGAAATGCTGATGCTTCCGACGTTGCTCGATTTTCTCCTCCATTATCCCCGGTAACACATTTGAAAAAAATATGGGAGAAGGAATGATCTAATCAATTCTACGTGATCTTATTGAAACTGCTTGACTTATGCTCCAGAACATGTGTGAACAAGTGAAAAAATCGGCGTGCGTTCAGAAATCATACGCCATTTTCGGATTTACTGTCAAATACAGAAAAAATGTAAATAAAACTGTATAAACAAGTACTATGGCTTTTGCCTTGAGGCTTGCAAAAAAATGCTGTTGAAATTCATTATTCACGGAAGAAGCGCGAAAATTTTTTAAATCTCTCACAAAAAGTCTGATTTCCATAATTTCGGAAATATCGTGGGAATGAAGCAGTTGTCACGCTGTTGCTGAGGAATTTTCCGTTGAGTATAACCGTTGAATAATACTGATCTCATCAGTGAGACATTCCGGAAGTGTTGTATTTGCCATCATAACGGTCGCGCTCTTCCAGTAGCACTTCATAAAGACTGACTGTTTTTGCTGGGTTGTTTGTAGACGGCGAAGGAGAAAAAGGCGTCGATGTCGCTTCAGGTAAAATACGCAGAAGCTGTGAAATACGGGATGGAGGCGTTAAACACGGCCTTCGAGCGGGTCGAGATTATCCGACATCCGGATGGAGTCGCAGATGGAACACATCGGTACGCATTTCGTTTCAGTCCAGAAACAATGCAAGTGTAGGGATAATTTCTCTTATGAAATCTGATTTTTATTTTACAGTAGCTGGTGAAAGTTATCCTTTTTTTAAATTTTGCGTCGACTTTTCCTGTTGAGACAGAAGGGGAGCCTTCGTAAGTGTCGTGCCCTCCGTTTTGTGTTAAGAGATTGTGGGCAAACGTTTGCGAAAAAAGTAAATTTTGTTTTTGAACTGAGTGATGTGTGGAACTTCAAACGATGCAATCTTTTTTTGAATGGAGGCCTGGGTAGTCTTTTTTTTTGTTTCTTATCCGAACTCCGATTATTTACGTTAGCTGTAGTGAAACTTCCTGGTTGTTGCGCTGAGTGCTGTTGTTGAGACGGAAGACACGTCTCGTGAGTGTGGTGACCTTCCTTTCTGTCTATTTGAGATTACGGACTAAAATTTCTAAAATTATATATTTCAATGAGTGAATGAGAAACTTGAAAAAAGGTGTTGTTCAATTCCAGTCGCCATATTTTTTCTCATTCGTCTTTTTCATTTCAAGCTTGTCGAAAAATCTCCTTTTGGTTCTCCGAACTGAGCGAATGACTTTTCATCATGATTCTTGCTTCGTTTAGCTGATTGTTTTTCCTAATTTTCAATTAGGTTAGATGAATGAGTCGGGGAAAAAGTAATCGCGTAAGCATGAAGTGTATGAGAAATGCAAACCACCCGGGAAACTTCCCTTTTTAGTCAGCTCCCTCGCTAGTGGATGTCCAAAATCTCTGGCAAGAAAGGATGTTGGACATTTTCTCTCGATGCGTTCAAAATATTTCAGTCATTTTTGTGCGAAATTTGTCGGGTCAACGTTCTGGATCGATTTAGAAAATAGGTGTCGAGTAAGGTTCTTTCTGAGTTTCTGTGTAGGTTACGGGAAGTAAATACAGTGTATGATTTTTGTGAAAGGATGACGAAATACTAAGACCTCTAGAGATACAGTATATGACAGTTCGAGGATTAAAGAGAACAAAATACTGTATAACCTCGCCTTTGGTTGGTCATTAGTATTGGTAAATTTTTGCAATTTCCCATGAATTTACCAAAACGGGATTAAGGAAAGTTAGCGTTCGCTTTTTTCTTCGCCTTGAAAGATGAATTGACCAAAAATATTGATTCATGCATTTCTACCCGTCCATTGATGTTATTAAACTGGGGAGGAAATTTTTTTGAATTGTTTTACTTGGGCCTCTCACGTTTATTTTATAATGAAGTGGGACTTTTCTATGATTAAGTAGAGTTCTCGCATCCTGAGAATTGAGAGGAATGGACTTGAGGGAGCATCCATTATGTCCTTCGCTTACTGTGGCGATATCAAATTTTTGTCGACTGCCACGTATTTTGACAATTTTTTAAATACTTGCCCCCAGGGGATTTCAAATCCTTTTTTCGTCGATTTTCCGAATTTCAGGGGATGCCAGTGTTTACATTCCCCGCTTGTACAGAACCTTTCCTGGATTTATGGCTTCCACAGTGTTTACATTCATGTCCTTTACTTGAGTTTAAAATGACACTTCATTATTTTAAATCATATTTCATATTGAAATAAGATAATTGAAATACTGTGAGGTGATTTTACTTGTTGGAAAGGCCGTGCTCTGAAATATGATCGCATCCTTTTCTTTTGTTCGTTTTCAGAACTTCCGTGATTTTGGAGCCAAAAGACCGTTTCTCGAATCGCCGTCTGCCCTACATTATTGGGTCCCGGCAGTACCTGGAAGACGATAACGTTGGCCTGCTGCCCAAAACCTCATCCGACGTCGCTAGTACGTCGCAACCGCAAGCGACGAGCGTTGTACCCATTAGCGTAGCGCAACCTGTGATAACTGGGGGTGCCCCACCACCGCCGCCGCCTCCTCCTCCTCCGCCGCCGCCTCCGCTGATAGTGCCAAAGAATGTGAGTATGAAATGTACGAAGACCGAACATGTTCTGAACAGCCTGAGTTAGTGTTTACCGATGAGGAGACATGCTTGAGGTTAAACGGACGTTTTTGGTCCCATTTTTCAGTGACAAGAATGAAATTGAAGGTAATTAATTTCATTTGTTCTGTGGATAATTATATACTGTATTGGAGGAAAATTTAATACTTATGTGCGGTCACATATGGTTTTGTGACAAAGGGAATCAAGAATTTAAAAAGGCGCAAACGGGTTTTTTTCAAGTCATTTTTGAAAGAAATACAGAGCGTTATTGAGCACTTGCGAAGCAACCGCGAATGTTCGCCCAATCCTAAAACCCTAAGCATTAACAATACTGTGCTTTTTTGACGTGAATGTAAGACTCAAGTTTTCCAATTTTTACTCTGGCTGCGTCTTTGAATTCCTGGCTTCGATTGGATTTAAAAACTGAAAAACTTCATAGTTGCCTTACGGAATGCAGTAATCGCGTTAAAGCGGGATAATTTAATTGCAAATGATATGTCAGTAATTTTTCATGTCTTATTCTGACCTTGACTAAGGAGCTCATTGTTTTGTGTTTCTGTCAGAAGTTGAATTGATCGTTCGACTTTAAAATTTGAAATCTACGAATTTCAAATAGTCCACGATTTATCATTGTTGATGCGTTCGTCATTCGCCTATGCAGAGATAGTTATTGTTGAGCATTCCGCTTTTTCCGATTGTTCGGCAAAATTGTAAGGAAAGTGCGTTATGTTCATCAATTTTTTAAAAATTCGCGTGGTTACGTGATGACGCTCATTGTCTATGCACTGCGTTAACACCTTTTCAGCTGAAAGTTGAATGGGTATGATTGAAGACAATCGATTTGTTTGATCATTTTATCGGGTTAGAGACTGCATACTGTTTTTGGGCCTCCCTGTTTACTGTATTTATAATGATTGGAACTACCCTCTCACGAAGGATAAGAATAGAAGTTTAGTCACGATTCCTGTAGAAGCATTGTTGACGGGACTGATTCGAATTCTTTCTTTTTTTCTGTGGACCGAAGAAATCAGTGACTTTGTTTGAACAACGCCCTTCTTCGGAAAAGATGTCATGGAAATACATAGCTTCAATATTGTACGAAATTTCTTTTGACGGCGACAAATGCCGCCGGTTGCAGGGGGAGGACAGTGACTTGAAATTTAATCGCGCATCTCGGGATGCGCCGAAAAAAGATAAAAGGAGAAAGGAAAGGTTATTCCCCGAGAACCGGGGTAATATAAGCCAACAGTTAAAATCGGCAAAAATCCTGAAAAGGAAAAGAAGCGGGAAAAAACGGCACACGGAACCAGGGCAATTCGAGCCGATTGTAAAATCGGCACCCTCCTGAAAAGTTAGAAGCATTGTTGACGGGACTGATTCGAATTCTTTCTTTTTTTCTGTGGACCGAAGAAATCAGTGACTTTGTTTGAACAACGCCCTTCTTCGGAAAAGATGTCATGGAAATACATAGCTTCAATATATGCTGGGTCTGTAGGTAAACTTCGAAATTGATTTCAATCGTCTTCGAAGAATTAGGGAAGAAAAATTAAAAGTAATATTCCTGAGTTGCTGAAAATTGCTAGTCATTCAAGTAAGTCGAATTTTCGAGCCAAAATTTTGAACTGCTTAATTTGTACTGAAATGAACCGAAAATCTATAAAAACGCCCTCGTTCGATTGATGATTGTACTGGACACGCGTGTTCTTGTGACGAACTGAGTCATTTTAGAAACTGTCTTGATATGAGATAAATCCTGGGCAGTTGAATTCAACATCTTGCTCAATGCTTTTACTCAAAAACGGTGTTCGTCCGGCGTAACATTGTTTCAACATGCCATTGCAAAAATGTTGTGAATTTATATACAGGAAGGGTCAATGAGTGGATTGGCAGCATTGGTGGCCGAAATCGACGCTCCTGTGTTGAGGGCAGAAGCAAAAGAAGACTTGTTATTTGGTGAGTCCGAGGAAGATGACGACGATGATCTATTTACAAATGCGTCGTCGAAGAATCTTCCTGTGGAACAAAAGCCTAAGAGCGAGGTAAGTTTTTTGATTGGAATCATAATAATTTCTGAAAGCCACCGCGTTCAACGAAGAGGAAAAAAACTCTTCTTGGAAGACGGATAGTCCGCGATATAACACAGCTGTAATGTTGAACTTTGTTTCCGTCTCTGTCTTCTGATGTGCTGCGAATTTTTTTTTTTTTTTTTTATTTTTTTGCTGCGAAAAAAATATTTTTGCGAATGAATTTTTTTCGTATGCATAAATATTTCAAAAAATCCCTTCGATGAGCCTTCGCGCAAAAAACCTCGCTTGCCACCAATTTCAATTTCCTACATTTTAGCGCTGTTGCGTTAAAAATTCTACCGATATTATTTATTTATTTTCTCAATTGTTCCAAAACTTGTTATTGAAGAATAAGCTAGCTTTTTTCCTTTGATTCGTGAATTTCACGAAGACTTTCTCCTCGAAAACCGCCGCGCAAAAAATTAAAACTTGTTCGTTTTGTCAATCTCAGGTTCCCGAATGCCCTTTTGTGTTCAAATGTTCTTCAATTTTTATCTTCAGCTCAGTTCCTACTTTCTAAAGATGAAATTCGACAAATTACTTTCGAAATTCGTTTTTCGCTGTCGAATATTTTTTTTTCTTCTGAATTCCTATTCGAAAGCCGTTGAGGAAAGAAAAAAGTAATGTACTGTGCAGTAAATTCGTCGAACTCATTTCCCGATATTTCAGAGGTATCCTAATCCCCCTTTCTAGAAATTATTCAATCATCCCTTTCCCAAAGTGTTTGTCCGAAATACATTTTAGAAACAGTTTCTTGCTATATTTTTGGCGAGCTGTCGGTAGTTTCCTTGGAAGTTGCCCGAGCATGAAGGAGTCAAAGCGGGTCAGCCAGGTTACTCAACTTTCGACTCGCGGAAAAAAAAAAAAAACCTTAAAAAGTTCCCTGTGCCAATTTCCGGGACTTTTTGAGTCCGCTGGTATTCAAGAAAAAAAACCTTGTGTCGTGCGTTTGTTCCTAGTTGAACAGCTGCCGTGTTCGCTTGAACGCGTGTTTTGTGCTGACAGGTGTTGAGTCGAAAAGAGTTTCTATAACTGAACACAGTGGGATTGAATGTTAGTCCAGGTTTTGGGGAAAGAAAAAAAATTAATAATAAATTCGATTCCCTTGTGTTAGCTGGAAGACTTTTTACAATACTATACGTCTCCCAACAGCTGTATTTTTCATGCAACGAAATTTAATTTCTGCTCATGCGCTCGGCAACCCTTGAAAAATGTATATTCTTGAATGAGTTATAAACGTAATGTAAATCTAAAAATTGTGTGAGGAAGAAGGGTACAAATGCTGGCATCATCCCAACACTTTGGAATCTAGGACAAGAGAAGTTGTTGGCCTTTCCAGACTGCAAACTCCAGTGTGAATCATTCCCCGCTAATCTACAGAACGATAAGAATTGATTCCCTAATAATTGCACTAATTTCCTCCAAATGCCCAGATGAAAGGCCCCGTATACTTCACTAAATGATGCTTCCGTGTCTCTCTCGTGTGAGAAACAATAGTTTTCCTGAAGCCCGAATTTTCCCCCTCATTCCACCCAGTGTCGCCTACCTGTGACGAATTTCATAATTTCATGTTCCTGTCTTTCGTAAATATTCCCCACTAATTTAAACTCCGAAGGACTGTAGGAGGATTATAATACAGTATGCAGTGCTGTATTCCCCGATACAGTCACAAATTTCTTCCCATTGCACAGGTGAAAGGAACCGTTTTTTACCAAAGGCCGAACATGTTTGTTTCTCTCGTAGTTGGAAAAAAAATTGTGTCAAATTGTGTCGGTCACCCTGTGTCAATTCTCTTCCGCAAGAAAAACATATCTTGATGCAGTTGAACCTTGATAACTCGAACTTCCCTGTGGCGATTTTTTTTAGTCCCTGTCTCAATTCTCTCAAGAACAATGCGTTAAAAACCTCCCAGCTCAAAGGCTTTCCCCCGCAAAGTTCCATAGCTCGGAATTTTATGGAGGTCTTTTGGCAATTATTTCATTGGCACAGGAAAAATAAAAACAACAAAAATGTAACTATTTGTCAAGGAAAGTGACTAATTTGCCCTGGCCTCCGTTTTCTAGTATCCTGTCAATTCCTTTAAGGAGCATTTCAAGGCCCATAATGCGGTACAGTATTCTTCTCCCTCCCCCCAACACATTTTTTTTTCCTAATTTGAATCTTTAGCTAGTCCCTTAAAGTTCGACTTGAAGAGGTTCAACTGTAACTATTTATTTATGGCTTGTCCGGAATAACGTTTCAAATTAAGTCCTTCATCAAATTGAACCCGTCATATGTGCTTCAACTCTTCTCGTGAAATGACGTGAAAACAACTCTGGATTGCGTGTTTTAAGTCAGAACAGACTGCAATGGAAAAAGTGTGATTTCAGTTGCCGTGTGCAGTGATGAGGCAGACGCACAGATTTAGTGACAGGGAAAAAGAGAGGAAGAGAAAGGGATTGAACCAGTTGGACGGGCCATCCTTTGGCAGGATTTCAAATCGTTCTTTCCGCTTCTCAGAGCGCGTTTGCGAGTGTGTGTGTGTGTGTGTGTGTTTTTTTTTCCGGGATTTCTGTGCCTTCTACTCCTCCATTTTTAAAAATTACCTCTGAAATCTTTTTTTTCTGTGTGCTTTTTTCGACGTTCCGACATTTCTGAAAGAAAAAGGGCGATCAGAAAATTCCTGATTTACTTTTTTTTTAATGAAGGAGTAGTCGTTATTGTTTTTGGTGCGAATTTGACTTGAAGATGATCGGGAGAGACATTTAGTCTTATGTTCGATTTTATTTTTCGAAAGTATCCTTGTGAAAGTACAATACCGAAACAATTTTATATGGAATATTTGACGTCTACGGAACTCGGGTAATCTTTATGCAAGCCCCGTACTGACGCTTTTCTCCCCAACCGTATTCCAAAAAAAAAAAATCATAGAATTTATTATTTTTTTGTGGTGCCAGACCAACGTCCGGCCACACTTTCTGGAATGCCTCGCAGGTTTCTCATGAATCGATAAGCTGAATTAATGAACTGAAATTTAATTAATTCGATGTAATCCAATATGAAATTCTGTATTCTGACTGAATTTGAAGTCGGAGGAAAAAAAATCAAATGACATCGAGGTAACAGCAGAGAAAATCACGGGTTCGATGACATCTTGGCGTTAAAGTGCAAATAGCGAAACGCTGTTCGCCGATTACCGTATTTGCATGCCTTCGACTAATAGATTTTTCGTGGGAAAAATTTTTTGAATTATAAAAATACTGCTCATTATATACGATATGTTGTAATACAGCACAGTATGCGTAAAATGAATGGAACTCGAAGATTTTATTCATCGCAAGATACTTGGCAAGGTTAGCTCTGCGAAAACAACATTGGCTAAGGTTAAGACTACGAGAGGAGGGTGTATTTTTGTAGAGGGCACTGTCAGGGTCGCCTTTTGCGTGCCGTTCTGCTTTTCACATATAAGTTGATCTGACTTATATCGAAAGAAAATTCACTGCTAAATATCCAACTACTTTATTCTCAATTTTATCTCACGTTTCCATACAATTTTGTATTTTTTTATAAACGCGTAATATAATTACTAAAGACTGATCAGAAAAATGTGTAAACTTTCTCGAATGGCAAAATTTTCCCCTTTCCGGTATAAGAAGAAAAACGATGCGGATTTTTTTCTTCTGCCAATTACGAAAGCGCGGCTTTTCAAGGGGATCTCCGAGCTCCGCGAGAACAAATTTGCAGTGAAGGTATTTTTGGCACGACCTCCCTTTGTGCGCAATACGATGACGGAGGAACTGTGCCGAAAAGTCGGAGAGCATCGTGTTTGGTCCCTTGCTTATGTAGAAACTGTTTGATCGGCGTGGAGAAATGAGGAGGAACCGAAGAAGAGGGAGTAAAAAAGGAAAGAAAAAAAAAAAAGGCGGGTGGCTTTTGAGCGAAGGTGTGATTCTTGATGTCAGATAGTTGCCAGGTGTCCTGGCGTGAGGTCATACAATTTTGAGTGGCATTTTTCATTTTAGACCTTTCAAGTGTCATTATTAAGAGCTTTCTTCAATGCCGTTTTTTCCCCTTTCTGGAATATGAAAATTCTTGAAATCTTCAATATTTTATTGCTCTTATTATTGAACACCACCAGGCCTTGAACCATTTTCGCCCTCCAAAAAAAATAATTCACTGGCTCTTTTTCACAGTATACTCGGTAAAGTAAGCGTGCAAATTTCGTTCATTTTTTTTAATAAAACACCTCTGAAAAGCTGAATCAATTCTGAACTTCGCATCATCTTCCAAATTCTACTGAACGAATAGCGGGTATTTTGATCACGATTGTCAATTCAATATCGGGCGCATCCTTGAAATCCTGTGGCACAAGAGGTGTATTTTTTGCGTTGAATCATTAAAAAAATCGAGTGAAGTAGAAAGATAAAAAAATGTTGCGTTCATTGCGTTGAAATTGCGAAATTAAATTCGCTCGTTTGCGGTACAGTACCTGCAACTGAACAGACATTTCATACTGAACGTACTCCAAAAATTGAACGATGAAACGAGCTGTTCTCAAGGTTTTGCGAGAGTTGATGAATTTTTTTTTTTAGTGATTCTGCGGAGTTTGTGTTTTCATGTGAGTAAAATTGAAAACGTATTCAACGTCCCCCAAGTGAAATGATTGAAACTGGGGCCTTTTTTTCCGCGGGAACACAGCGCTATTAATAGCGGTAGAATTTCGAATTTCTGGAATCCAGTTTTCAGTAACTCATCACTTACGTGTATTTGATGCACTTTTGTATTCCTTTTCCGTTGGCTTTATTATATTTCATTTCATTGAGGACTTACATCCGAACGCACCCAGAATCTGAGGAAGGATTTTTTTTTTTAGGAGTATGCCAGTGTCGGCATACTCCGTAATTATTGAGAATTCTCTCTACCTTTGTTTGTTCGGCATTCTTGAACACGTGGTTTACGCGGAATGAATCACTGGTTGAGCCAATACCTGCATGAGGTCAGAACCCGGAACTGTGGTTTACTCAAACTGAACCTTGTGACTGAAAGGCGAGGTTGATTCATTTTTTTGTGCTAAGCGACGAAATGTTTGCGTGCTTTAAACTGGGTCAATGTCAGGATGACCTTGGAATGATATTTTAAACTTTAGTCGGTAGATGCAAAAGATTTGTTCGACCAATGTTTTTCGGATCGAGCGGTGAAAATGAAATTGAGGATTTGAGGATCGAAGTTCATGTTGAAATTTTAAAATGGGAATTTTTGGCATATCTGATTTGGTGATTTTTTTTAAATTCATCGCCTGTTCTCACATTTGTGTGGCTCTTCAATGTTCATTCTTTCGAAGTATTTCAAGTGTTTTTCGTGGATATTTTACATATTGTCTGATACGACCGAACAGTAGCATGTTTGTCGTTAAAATTGAACAGAAAATTGATGAGAGACGAGCTTTTGAATGTGTGCGTCAAACAAGTTTTTTTCTGGTTTGTTGATGAAGCCAGCAGAATTATTTGTCGATTCCATCCGTCAATTTTTCGCTCTTCGCGTGATTTCTTTCATTGATAAATTCGCAAAAATTACTCGAGGGACAGTATTTGATTTACGACTGAATTCCGCCGCGTGACAGAACGACATTCCAGTGATGCCACCTTTAAAAGGGAAATAAAATTCAGTAATGATGTCTAATGACACGCTTTGGTGGGAAAAAATGTCGAGATTCAAACCTGGAACGTACGTTCGAGGCATGATATTCTTTTTCATCGGTGTCCATCCGGAAGATCTAATTTTTTGTTGAGCGAAAATTTGTGGTAGTGCAGAAGAAACCATTTTCTTTGGTGAGACTTTCTTCCAACTTTTTTTTCGAAGGATATTTCAATATACAGTACAGTACTTTATTTTAAAGTCGTGTGTTTTCTTCGCTTGCGACGTTGTTTTTTAGGGATCCCGAACTAATTTTCTCTCAAAGAAGTGAATTTATCTACCTTTTTATTTTTAATGTCATGATGGAAAAATGGGTTGTTTCTCCGAAAAAAAGTTTTTTCTCGTGTTTGACGTTTTTCAAATCTCGCCCGAAACTTATGGTAATCTTAAAAACCCTGTTTTCTGAATCACTCGGAATCAAATTGAAGAGCTGGATTGCACTGCTTTAGGATAAGATTAAAGAAAAGAATTCAGATAAGAAAGGAATTCGCTCGTGAAACAAAGCATTCTCATTTGAAGAGGATCTATGATGTACAGTACAAGGAAACCGTTGTTGATATTCAGTTGAAAAGTGTCCCTCTGTCTGTCTTATTTCAATTACAGTACTGTACTTATTTTCCGACCTGTATGGAGTATTTTGTTTTTCTGGAAATCGGCGGCATACTGACAAAATTAGCGATAACGAAAATCTCAAGTCACCAGGTGCCGATAAACTGTGAAGGATGGCTGATGTTTTTTTTTTTCAAATCTCAACCAGTGGTTCATGTGAAATAAAATTTAGTGGATAATTTAGGTGATTGAGAGTATTTGTCTTTTGTTCGTCCCAGACCGAGAGGCCTCAACTATTCCGCTTTATGTTGCAATGTTGCAAGATCTTGGCATTCATAATTTTCCGAAATTTTGAATTTGGAAAGCGGACAAAAGCTTCCCGGTTCACGTGTAAGACTTGTCAAGAAAATAAGCCGCCAGTTTTTATCTGAAGAGAAGAGTTGAATAAAAAATGTCTTTCTCATTCTATGGGAAGAATGGTACTGTATATCGAAGAGTTGATTTAAGATTTTTAGAAGTTTCGTTCTTCCATCGTTTTATTGACTGAATGGAGAATTGATGTACAGTATCTTTTACACAATAATATTTGATCATTCCCTGACCACCGATGAATTTTTGTTTGTTTAGGTTGAAATGGGGGAAAACATGAGGAGTTTAGGTAAACCCTTTCATTGTGAATGAAATACGATTTTATACGAACATCTGAATTTATATTCCTGTCGCGGCTAGTGTTGGTTTTTCCTTAATTTGTAATTCAAATTTTATTGAAAAAAATCTCATTGGAAGTACAGTACCGTATTTCAGTACTATAATGGCCTCTGTGAATTTGCAGTGAAATTATAACTTGCTAATACAGTATCTGCAATGCAGGTGGACTCTCTCTACACAACGAAATGCAATGTACCAAAAAACATATTTTTACAAAATCCCTGAGATGGGTAAAGAACCCTATGGGACTGAAGAAAAAAATTGTATACGAAGAAAATCGTTCTAGACAAGATTGTTGTAGAGAGAGATTACACCTGTATTGGGTGCGTTACGCTGAAATCTCAATTCCTGGGGAAGACGTTACCAAGTTTGGACTGAAAAAATATAAATAAATGAATAAAATCTACCGATTACGCTGAAGCTCAAGTATTTGTTCCACCCCGGTGTGTTTCTGAGGATTCTGATTCATCAACTCGGGTCAAATTCAAGCACCTTATTTTCGAGGTACAATACTAAGCGAAGCATTCACGCCTACATTTTCAATGGATCAAAAAAAAAAAAAAACCAAAACTCGGTGAGAATTCGCGATGCGAAATCTTCAAAAATTTGGAAAGATGCTGGTGCGATTTTAATTGACCTCAAGCTGACCACGTGAACATTGCGGTGATACGCTTGAGGAAGTATTTTTTCTGTTGAGACCAAGTTGAGGTGAGAACAGTGGTTGACTACGGAAAAGGTGCTACAAAACTTCCCAACATTCCCCCCCCCCTCCTTCCGTTTCGATCAATTTTCCAACGTTTCGGCAACGTCCGTGGGAAACAAAAGCCTCGTGAATTTATTGTGAGGATAAAAACGTCAACTGTCGCCCGTGTGTGTAGATAAAAAGCGATCGAGGGAAAGGAAGCATCAAGTTTTCACCCGATAGGTTGTGGAATGCGGCCCATTTCAGGATTATCGCGCGAAAATTTTTCCAGTTGTTCGTTTTCCTGTTGGCAATGATTCGCGGGAATGGGAATTTTTTTTTTTTTATAGAAGATCTGAAAGCATTTATTTTACAGCGCAAACTCGAATTAGCGGCCGCACTTTAAAAATGCGGCTTTCGTTCGTGTTTTTTTTTTCGTGAATAGTACAGTATATATATTTGGAGTGTCTTGTCTCGTATTTCTGCTGACTTGGATTTGGAAAGTAGGCAAAAGTATGCATCTAAGTTGAAATCTTCGAGAAATGTGAATCACTTTTTAACCTTATAAACCCTCGGAGAATTTTTGTGAAACAAGACAGTCGTCCCGAATTTGAGAACGCGTTGAGAAGTTCAGAACTCAGATGTAATTTCTGTGTTTATACTGTAAATATATTGCATTTAGCGGACTTATTCCCTTTTTGGTATCATATATAAATCACATGGTCACATGAAAATGGTTTTCTGTATCATATTTTTTGGACGCTGAGAATGCTTCGAGTTTTTCTCAACGATTTTGTTTTATTTCTTTCAGGTATTTGAGTCTCGAGAACACGACGAGGAAGAGACGGTAGTGCGACAACCGGCGGATTTTGCGTCGGAATTGGCTGCCAAGTTGTCTGCGCGTGCCAATAATAATCCAGCTGAAATTGGAGATCGCAATCGGCAAACAGTGAATGTTGGAGCGAGAGTGAAGTCCCAAGCGGTGACGGAAATCTCTTCTGTTGCGAAGCAGAAAGCTCAGCAGCAGGACGATCGACCGGCGATCAAACCACGAACCAACGGTGTGTGTGTGGGAAATTCTTGGCTTTTTATTTATTTATTTTTCCCCTTCCTCATGTTTTTGTTCCATTTTTCAGTCCCTTCATTCTCAGGATATGGGTCAATTCATGTAATTCTTCATGTGTTTATGTGTGTTTAGAAAATTGTGATTCTGTGAGAAAAAATTATTCGTATAGCGGATACGTTGACAGCACTTCGATTAAGTGAGGCGGGGGAAATCCAGGGTTTTCAAATGTTGTCTTTTTTACTGTGTATCCCGTCTGTAAACCAAGAGAAATTTGAGAATCTTTTGAAAGTTTTTTTTACTCAGTTGCAGAATTTGATTTTAAAAACCCTTCAGTTTGTTGAACAGTTTTAAGAGAATTATTTGCATATCGTTTCTCATTGAAACATTTTGGATGCGTTTTTCTGTGTCTCAAGATAATCAGAATCTCATCCGAAAAATCTATGAAACGTGTTCGAAAATTCTTCTAACAGCGTTCATTTCTTGGACGTCGTCGTATTCAGAATTTCGAGAAAAACTAATCGGGGTGAATAATGTGCAGTAAAACCCTGCTTTGTGTAGATCACACCAGTACCCCAAAAATAGGAAGATATTCTCATATTCAACTGTAAGCATGCGACTTGGCGCATGCATCATCCACATAGAAACAGTTCATGCATACGGTACAAATGTTCTTGTACGGTAATTATGGTTGGTTGCGTTCTGTGCCTAATAATCCCCGTTGTGACGGCAAAAATTGTCTGAAGGATTGAAGACTCGGCTTATAATGAACGATAATGTTACTCATTGTACTTCATGATGTGTGTTGCATTATACAGTACGCTATTTTTTCCAGCATACGAAAAGTTCGGATCCCTTTACTCCTATGCGCGAACGGACTTGCTGAAAATGTCAGGCAGATGTCGCTTGAATCTGTTACGAGATGAAATTGACCTTCTTTGATTGAAACGAATCAACTGGAATTCGACTCAACTAACCCTTGTCTAGCGTAAATGTGAGAAACAGACCTTACGAAATGCTGCAAAATACAGGCGACACCTATGCATTGACAGAGAAGAAGGGTTAGTCATGTGCAGAAGTGAAATAACCGGCGTTTGATTCGTTTGTCTAAGCATTTTGGACTATTTGGAGGAAAAAATATTTTTTATTCTGTAATTATCTAACGTACCACCTGCCAGATGTTCATGTACCACCAGTGATACGCAAACCAACAGGTTAAAACGACGGTTTATAGGTTTCGTCGATTAGATAAGGTCATTAAAATCTCGTCACAGATTCAAGCGACACCTGCCTGGCATTTTCAGAAAATCTAGGTCGGATGTTGAAGTGAACGGATCCGAACGTTTCAAATCCTAGAAACATCTACAGCTGAACTTCCATGAATTAAACCTCCGAAAGTCAAATAACACCCTATTTCCAGTTTTTAAAGTCACTGTCTATAATCCCTCAGAAACAGTGTATTGATAACCTCCTGAACTCAAAAGCTTTTCCCCGCAAACCGACCATCACTCAAATTTTCTGGAGGCCTTTTGGCTATTATTTCATTGGCACAGGAAATAGAAAAACAAAAAAAGGTAACAGGTGTTTTGAAAGTAAGCGAAGACTAATTGGGAAAATGAACTCTTGCCTCCATGGTTTACTGTCAACTCATTTAAGGAGCAATTTAAGACCTAAATTATCACCAATTGCAATTCCGTGTGATGATTTTTTTTTATACCCCCAACAAAAATGTTTTTTCCTAAATTGAATTTTTTCTGGTCCCCTTAATTTCGACTTGAGGAGGTTTGACCGAATTACAAGGGTTATCTTGTAATTAGGCTTGAAATATTCATGAAAGATTCGGAAAAATTCGTTCCATCAATAATGTAGTACAGTACAGTACTCATTTCGTCCAAATTAACGCATTCCCGGTCCTTTTACACAGAGTACAGTATTAGACTCAGTTCTCCGAAAATAGTCCGGACCGCGTGTCGGTGATGGCCGTTCAAAATTACGAGCCAATCGCGGAGTAAAATTCGTCATCATGTCAGTGTCAAACCGAGCGATTCCCGGGAGCGAATCGAGGATCTGACTGAATAAGCCTTTTTATTTTGTGTGTGTGTTTTTGTTGCCTCGCCACCACAAATCGACGA